ATACTATTTTGTATATAATGCATTTTACGCGTGAGCGAACTGCGAACTGACTTTTGAAACAGTTTCACGAGAGAATATATCCAATTAAATTTCACTTAAATCACACATGACGGACCACAAGTGGTCACAAATACAAAGCTAGGTGCGTCTATCCCGAAGTCAGGCTAAATTTGGTTACATAGAAAATGTCGCGGCGCTGCTAAGCAACCATGTGCCGGCTGACGCGAGTTAACCGGTTGGTGATCATTCAATTAGCGAGTAACTCGAGCGATCCATAAAAGCGGGATCCCTGACGTGCGAAGTCAGCAGTATAATCGTGAATGAGGAAAATTAGCAGGCGCGCGTAGGCCGATGTCAGGCTTCAATCTATAACGCAGCTATACCATATATTTTCAGAGTCGTTGACAAAGGTGAAAGAATGATGTAACGCACATTAAAAAACATACGATCGATTCGTGACACTTTCGGCACGACACCAGAACGGGAAAGGCCGAGGTGTATCACAAGGCTAGCACACTGAAAACGTCGCGTTTTGACAGCCGGTGACGGCGCAGCGCGACATACCGCGGGAGCAGTGGAGGACGCCGTTATTATGCATACGGGCTGACTACCGACTGACACTACTACTGCTGTTTACAGATCACGCGCGGCCGGAGCATCTTCTCCGCGACTCTCCTACCCTTCGCGCGCGATCCGCGGCACCTCGAAGGTGAAGCACGTCGTCGCACGTCCTGAGATCGCGTCAACCGCGAGCGATATCATATCCGGCGACCACCCTCCACGTGCTGCGCAGCACGATCGACCTGCGGCGGGTCGTTGACGAGGAACCTGTATGTTTGTGTATGTGTATGTATATTTGGACAAAGGGGTGCGGAACGCGTCGCTCGCGATCTACGTTCTGCGGCATACTAGCTCTCCTGCCCTGGCTCCCACCCCCTCTGGCTTCAGCGACCCCTCCGCGACCCCTCGGGAGGGAGGCCACCCGCCCCGTACGTCAGATCCTTCCTTTTCGCCCTCCACCACGACTCGCCAGCACCGCGCCATGTCGCCCCCGCATCGACGGACCGACCGACGCGCGTTTCGCAGTACCATCAGCGTCGGTAGCTGCCACCACCGGACGGGGTTGCGTACGCCACCGGACGATACGGCGCCAATCAATCGTGATCCAGTTTCAAGCCCGCCGGATACTTTCTTCCGGCTTGCGACGCTCGTTCGACCCTTCGAACAGATCCCTTAAGAAGTCTCCTCGGTGCTCTGGAAACTCACTAGCGCTCTTATAGCGACTCTTTCTACTTCACGACTTGACCTAACGTATACAGATTGTTTGTCGAGTTGAAGTGCGAGGTGATCGCTAGTTATCCAATTGTAAATGTTTAATTGGGAAAGATTGTATTTAGAAACAGAGATTACCCTTTTACGAATGATACTTATAGAATTATCTTTGCGTCTCTTTCATTTTAGGTATTTGGTAGCATGTATTTTTATAGAATAAATATTAAGTTAACACTTCTCCCTTGCACAATGTCTCAATTTATACCTATTCCTTCTTCCTGTACATATGCTTTAATATCTGAGAAACATATAACGCTTTATGTATATAAGTTCTCGAAATATTTATATTATTAGTATAATAAAATATTATTTTTCAGAACAATCAAGATAATAAGAATTTTGAAGACAAAGCGTTATAAATGAAATATAGTTTGATAAATTTTATAGATAAATATTATTAAAATATTAATTTTTAATATAATTAAATTTGCGTTTATTAAAATAAATAAAATTATAACACTTTTTAATAATCACTTCGCGGTATGCTTAGAAAATATTAGCAGAATATGACTATTTCATGATGATTAATTGGGGAAACTTGTTTTAAAAATTAATTTAAATTATGGTATTATTCTGTAATGTTTTGCATACATATACATGAATTTGCAGCAAAATCGTATATTTTTTTATAAGAAAATTTTTTATTATTAAGTACAATTTACAGACAGTTAATTTAGTATCAATTGTGTAGAAGTAATTAATGTTGTAATATATATGCGTGTATGTAGTTTTATGAAATATAAACCTTGAGTGCACTTCATCGATTTTCTCGTTTTCCCAAAACATTAAGCGCATGCGTTAATCTTTTCCTTGGATGGTTGCTGTGACCATGTAGTCGATGGATCAAGAACTCTCTCTCTTTCTTTTTCTCTCTATCTCTGTTTCTCTCTCTCTCTCTCTTTTTTATCATGCATTTTAATGTAAGACAAGCATTCTGTGATAGCTATGCATCGATCGATCTTCTCGCCACAATATTATTTCCTATCAACGAAGCAACAAGTTCTATTTTCTTATAAATTAAATTCGTTTATTTTTTCTCAGCTGTACAATACAATTTAAAGACTTCTATTACTTTCAATTTTGGATTTAATTGCGAAAATATAGTAAAAGTGAGTATTTTATTTAATTAATTTATCTCTATCAGTATATATGTATAACGTTTTTACGAGAACATTTACAAAATATAATAGCTCATAATGATAACGGTTGTAATCTTTATCCTTAAGTAGTAATTATGAGAATAGATGACTCATATATAAATAATATATATATCGAACAACGCGATTATATTTTTCAAAGTTTATAAAAATTATATGCGCGTGTCTTTATTATGATGGCTAAATTTTATATTCTTCATAAAAAAATATTCACAAAACATTCGGAGAATGAGAGATGCAAGGAAAATGAGAACATACTAAGTAATAACAATTTCATTAAATATAGTAAACAATATATGTATGGTAATTATAGCAAATTATACCGTAAAAATGCATACTGTATTTTCAATATTCAATTTTCTTACATACGAAAAAGAATTGTTTATTGTTTATTTTTTATAATATGTAACGCGTCATATTAAATGAGAAATTTATAGTATATACTGAACATATACTTTAGACAAATATACAATAATAATCTTATCGGAAAACCTAAAATAAATAATAATTAATGCAAATAAAGGTTTAAAGTTCAAGTACAGTGAAAACAAACAAAATATTAAAAATAAAATATTGTTTTTAGTATTTAGAGATATATGTTTTCTATGAAAGAAACAAAAGCAACAACTCTATCAAATTAAATGTATCTCGTGCCAGACACTCTTTTATTTTTGCCCGTTCCACTTATTTCGCTAATCAAAGTAGGACGCCACATCGATTTTGGCTGTATCCGGAGCGAAGTGCCAAATATCTCGTAAAAAGTATAACCAAGTTCTCAATTTCTCGAGAGACGACGATCTAAAATAGGACCAGACAGAAACACGGACGACGACGAAGGAAGGAGATACGAATAAATAACGAGTATCGCGCTTCAAGGATGAAGAACGGATTAATAAGGCGCCTAGTAACGAGATAGCTCGTCAGAATGTGCCATGGTCCGATTAAATCGCTTGTCCCGTGTTCTCCATCTATCTCTCTTGTCTCTCTTCTCTACATTTATCTTTCTCCTGCTATAACTTTTCCCCCTGCTCCCTCTGCCGCGTTGCAGCTACGGGATTTTTAACTGAGAATTTTAACGATCGACCTACATTTCCGCGCCCCATTTACGGTATATCCTACGGTAATGTCAAACACCGCGATAAATTTGCTAGTGATCGTTGCTGTAAGGACCAACAGTGATGCAACGGCACGATTGAACGATTTTCAGAATATATAGATTGAAATAGTTTCGCAAAAGAGACGCCACACAAATCATTCAATGCAAATATCAATTTTCTTACGGATTTCACAAAAGCTATTTCTGTTACAACCAATTCCGTGTTGTTAACATCAGAGAATTTGTCTTGTTATTGTAATGTATGAAAAATAATTTTATTTTTTTCATTTCATCATAGTTATATATATATATATATATATATATATACATATGTATATATTTTATATAATTATATACATACATCAATATTATTAAAAGTAACTTTTATAACAATTACATTTAATTACTTTTCAATTATTTTGTTTAAAAAATTAAGGAATTAATTTCTCATTTTACTGTCATATATAGTATATATATACATGCGGTAATAATTTTTAATTTTTAATTTTTGAAAATTATCACTGCATATATGTAAATGACAGTAAATTAAAAAATTAGTTTCTCAATTATTTAAACAAAATTATTCGAAATCATTTTAAATGTAATTGTTAAAAGTTATTTCTAATAATATCGATGTATATATATTTATATATATAACTATATATATAAATAGAAAAATTTTTAATTATTTCTTCAATGCAAGTAAATTTTATTTCCCTTAATAGTTCTTTGTCACACAAGAAATAATTTTGTGTATATATAAAATTTATGAAGAATATCAATCACAATTTACAAATCATTTTATTTTATATAATTTTCTTCGCAACATTGAGTTTTATCAATTATCATTGTTAAAAAACCACTTTATACAACTCAAATAATTGGTCGTCAATTAATTAAATGATCTCTAATTTTCTTAATTGAATTCATTTATGTATGTGAGTAAATTGAGAAATTATTATCAATATGTACTTTAAACGAATCAAGTCTGGTCAACTTTTTATATTTGCAGTAATTATAAACGCGACTTCCGCAAATTTTAAGATCAATTATTTAAAAGTACTTTAAACAGTTGCAGTATAATCTCAAACTGTTAATTTTTGTCATTTAAAAAAATATTTCAAGCAAGAATTCATCGATGAAAGAATTTGCGTAAAAAGATATGTAGTATACATATCTACAGCTGTGGTGTGTTCTACTTTTCTATAAGTTTTAAGCGATATGCTTAATAGTAGAAATGCATACGTAAAATATCTGTGTGTACACATGTGTGAATACTGGCATAAAACTTCGCCTAAGATATTACTGCGCCATTTTATAATATAAGTTAGAAAGAGAGCTAGCTTTAAAGTCAACAGAATAAATCATCTGTTCTGCCTGTGCTAGCTCCTAGCTTTAAAATACAACGTACTTACCCTCATATGCGGCTGGACCAATAATTCATGAAGTTCTCGAAGATCTGCTCTATCGATATTTCGCACCGCCGAATGCTCTGCCTCTCGAAGGATCTCTTCGACTTCACGGGCGCGTTGAACTGCATCTGTTTGTGGTGCTCGATACGGTGTTGGTACACGTCCTGAGATTCTGTCATAAAGCTGGAAAAAGACAACATTGACATTAATACAATTTCTTGTGTAATCCTTATTTCAAATTTTAGCATTTACGTAAATTGAGTGTTGTTATTAAATTAAGATATTATTGAAAATGTAATCAATCTCATAAATTTTTTAAATTTGTTCAAAATTAATCTTTTTTCTCAGATAAAATGCTAAGAAAAATATAATATTTTAGTAAATGCCAATAAAATATTCAAATTATGTACGTATTCAAATTTTTCTGCAACACCAAATCTTTCTCTAACTTTGCAGTAACGGTAATGCAAAAGAATATTTGTAAACATGATTATATGGGGGTTTGTAAACATAATTATATATTTAATTCATAAATATAACTAAATAAAGAACATTATCATTAAGAAAATTGAAAATTAAGATAATGAGAACACAATGTTATTTAAAACTAAAATATTGGAGTAAACGATAAAATAGTTAATTTATATATAATGATTAAGAAAATTTGTTATTATACGCTCTAACATCAGTCACTTGTTTAAAGTTTCGATCGGTTGAACGACAATTTATGCATGATATTCTTCCTGTGTTAAATTGAAATAATTTACTCACCAGGAGATCCGCGATTTCGAACAGGTCGCCGGCTAGCTCGGCGTCACCGATGAACATTAACTGACAGAGATGCATCTCTCTATCTGTTAGACAGCGCTACGAGCGTTGTGTAACATGGCCCTAACACACGTGGTTCGTTCGACCACGTGACACTTCAGGAACCACCGAAGAATACATTTCTATCGACACGCGAGTTGTCGCGATTATGCGATCTTTTGATCGTGCGTGGCATGTTGTTTATCAAGACTCCGCGGCGGCCATCTTGCCAATCCGGAGGCAGCGCTTGCGTGTTTTTCCTTGAAAGGAGTGAAGGTCGTTCCCGCGGGATATTCCGCAAGGGTGAATATTATCGGAGTTAGCAACCGAGGAGAGAGAGTCAAGAATAGTGGCGCCGCTCGCAGTGAAAGAGCTCAAGCTTTGCAGAGGCGGGAGTCAGGCGCGCGAAAAGGAAGCTTTCGAGATGACCGATTCCGGATTACGACGGGGTTGAAACAGGGGTTAACAACTCAAACATAGCGCGAACATTCCCGTGGGAGGGGTTGGCGATCGTTACCATTCGCCGTCGATAAAAAACAGAACTATTTTACCTTAATAGAGATCCTTTTTTGTTATCTGCACTTGATTGCAAAAATTCTTACTGGTGATGAGGAAATGAGTAAAAATTATTTAAAATCTGAATTAAAGCCCACAATTGCGAAATAATCGGTTAGTTACCCATATAAAGAAAAACATTCTTTTTAAATAAACAAGATGATACTGATTATTTAAGATTATTATTTTCATTTATATATTTAAGTTATAATTAAGTAAAATAAATAATATAATTAATGTAATATAATATAAAATTCTTACTAAAATATTATGAATTATTCAGAGATAATCTTTCCTAGTATTCAAAGCATTTTTCTTAATTGTAAAAGAAAAACGAGATAAAGCTAAATATAATGTAGACTATTAGAATTGTAATTGTAATATATTTAAAACAATATCACTCTAATTGTTAGTAACGTGCTGTTAAAAACCGGCATTACGCTTTATTACGATTTTTAAACAAAAAAAGATGTTAGCAGAAAATTTTTTCAAGTTTAAGAAACTTTGATTTTCTCTCTTTGTATATATATCGATCTTCATTTCAGTTATAAATTATTACGCAAAAGAAACTGTGAAAAGTTTTTCGAAATAATTATTAAAAGAAAAAATATTTGTTCCGTTTCAAACTAAATATACATATGTATGTGTGAAAAATCAAGATATCTTATAATTAATTGTTTAAAACGCAATCGTCATATTGTAAAAAATCGTACAATAAAATAATAATTATATTAAAAAATTAAATAATTGATTTTGTCATATAATATTTACAATATATATCTTTTTCTTTTTCGTTGTAATAAAAATAGAATAATTTACTCTTATTTACAATTAAGCAGATCACATAAGATCACATAGATTAATTTTGCGAAAAATTTGAATACCATAGAATCTGAATTTTTTTATTCGATGTACTGTAATTCTTTAGTTGTTTTACTATTTAAGTTTTCTAATTAATCAGATAGTTTCTTATACGATTTTTTATATAATTATAAGTTGTCCAAAAAAGATACCTCTAAAATGGTTCGAAGCCGGTGGTCATCAACGGCGTTGAGTACTTCTGTTCGCATCAGTCTATCACTTTCCTCAAGAATTTCAATGTCATCCAAGGAATCCACAATTTCGGCAACAGCTCCTGTACATAGAACAATATGAAATATTGATTTTACGAAATGTCAATACGTTTAATGATTCATGTTCGAGTCATAATCTTTAATAGATAGATCTATTAGAGAGACAGAACGTTGATAATACTCTGTTATACACAGATGATCTAACTCTAACTAATACTCGTATGACATATTACTAAATCTGCGCAGAAATCATAGAGTTTCCAAATTACGCGATATCACTGATCTCATTGTTGAAATAGTTAACTCAAAGCACATGAACTAAACATTGACCTAAATCAAGTTATTATTGCATTGATTATTATAAAAATATCGCGAAGGATTAAGCATATATAGGAGGTAAATTATGAAGAGACAGAATTCGACTTTACAATCAATAAAATTTCAATTAAATAAAATTCATTTATTTTTTATATGTATTTCTTTAGTAATTAAAATGTGACTTGAAATTTTTATGAAATCTTCTATACTCGTCTGTTTTATAAAGCAAACATCCATAAAAGAAAAATAGATATGTTGTATTTCGTTTTGTTTTTGTACATATCAGAAGTTAAATTTTGAAATCTTTAACACACCTGTAATTGTCATCTCGTCTTCGCCGACATCGGAGAAATTGTCACCATTAGTTTCTGAATATGGAGCATGCCATTTCGACGAGGAGATAGCCGCTTTTACAGCATGGCTTAATTTTCGCCTCGCATTAAATTTCTTAAGCTCTTCTATAGTGTCAGCTAAGTGTATACGAGCTGCACCCTTATCACGATCCTGGAAATTAGTATCCATTCATTCGCTATCAAAAATACGACAAAGTTTTTATTGACTACAAGCTGAAGCGAGAGACGTTTGCAAACTATAACTTATATATTTTAAAAAGTATATTTTTAATTAAAATCATCTATAAATAATAAAATCACTACAGGCAATCGCCGGTTCCAAATTAATTGCTTTTAAAATAAATAAAAATTGTTACTAAAATTCTACAAGCGTTGTTTAAAAGTGTAACATCGAAGTAAAGAAAAGAAAGCTAAAGAAAAACTTTCTTTTCTTTACTTCGATGTCACACTTTTAAACAACGCTTGTAGAATTTTAGTAACAATCTTTATTTATTTTAAAAGCAATTAATTTGGAACCGGCGATTGCCTGTAGTAAAAAATATTATAACATCATCGACGCAAACGACTAATATGCAATTTAAATATTTTCCTTCATACAATCGCATTATTCCGCTATAATGACAAAAGAAAGATCGATTATATTTGCTTCCACAAAGTCCTCGAGAGTTCGATGAACGTACAGCCACGTAAAAAAGCTCTAAGCAATGCACACAGAGCGCAAGGTATATACTTTACTACAGTTATTTTCATTAATCGTCGGTGCTTTGCTCCTACTATAACGATCGATAGCCCAGTTGCACGTGTATTGTATCGAAGAAGTATGGGGGTGACTCCGCGAGTGTTGTTACCTTAGGTCACTGGCTAACTGTTGCACCATACAGGTATAATCTCGCACCATATCGGTGTGCGCGTGCGCACGCACATTCATCGGACATAACAACGGAGAATGAGGCCACGTGTACATATATACGTTACATATATATATACCGCATAATTATAAAATAAAACCCAATGTACTATCATCGGCGATCAAACGGAAGCCGCTACATCGATTATCCCCATCAGGAGTTGCGCGGCGTGACGTAGAATACTGATCGTCACCAAACGCCCGCGCTCGAACGGATTATTATACAGAGATCACACACGTCCAGCCGTACACATTCATATATATACACAAGCGTGATATTGTTCCTCCGTGCCCCATCATATCCCGCAAATAAAGGAACCACGAATCCTCCCGTCGATCGTTTTACTTACTCTAAGCCACTTGTGGTTGAGAACTTCCTGGATGGTGATCCTATGATTCACGTCGGTCGTGAGCATTCTCTGTATGAGGTCTTTCGCGGGCTCGCTGATGGGATCCCAGAGTGGTGTCTCCATCTGCAAATTCAATTAAATGGGAATTATACTTGCCACAGAGAATCCCGCTCTTTGAATACTACGAAGCGATTCGAAATCACGCGAGGCAAGCGTTATTAAAATTTTTGCACCGCTCGTTTTTTATCCGGATTAGCTGCGTTAGGCGCGATCGAATACGATCATTACCTGTACCCGTCCTCGGCAGATCGCTTCTCGCAGCCTGTCCCGAGATCCGACAAACGGAAGTGTGCCAGTTAGCAGAACGTGGAGCAATACTCCGGCCGACCAGACATCACCGGGTTTCCCATATTGTCGCCGTTGAATCACTTCCGGCGCCATGAAATGCGGACATCCGACACGACCTGCGCGACCAAGAGCATCGTGAGCAAAAGTAGATAAAATTGTCAAGATGTGACCAGCAGAATGGAAGCGAAGCGTGAGTGATTGCTCAAAAACTTCGCAGTCGATCGTTAACGTAAAAAAAAAACCCCGGAATCGCGCCTGCGATAAATACAAATAAATGTATCAATCGAATGAAACATTTGCGTTTAATTTTTCCTTTATTTCACGGTCATATGCGTGTATAAAACCAATAATCGACAGCTTTCCCTCTCGTCCAAATCGACCACTCGCCACGTGGCGAGAAGATTCAAAAAGTACGTTTTCGTTGATTTATTATTTAATCGGATCGACTGGACGTATAATAAATGTAATTAATGATAAGGAACGAAACGTGTCAGACGCAAAAACTACTGCATTCCTCGAAAACAAATACACTTGTCACAAAAGTAGCTGATCCTTTGTATAATAGGCACAAACGTCGTTTACAAACGATAACCAACGTGCTCTCTCTAACTTGCTTACTTTCAACAACCTATATTTATTAAGAATCAGTAAATGACACAGAAAGCGGCACGAGAGAGAAAATGTAGGTCACTGCACGTTGGAAAGTGTACATGGGAAAAGATGAGATGATTAAGGCTGTAAAGCAAAGACGACATAATTGCGATCGCGAGTACATCGTTAAACGCTAGAAAAATTATTATCAAATTATCCTATAATTTTTTATATATAAAAAATATACTATAATATATAATTATATGAATAGTTGTCATATAATATGGTTTACTTTCTCTGAAAAGTAAAATATACTTACATATAATATGATGATAAACAATATATAAAACATTTTAAATATCTTTGTACATTTCACATATATATATATTCAGTTATACTCTATAAAATCTATTTCTATATGTATGTAGATATAACTATCCTATATATATCTATAAATATATTCTTAGCTCTATTTCATGTAAATTTTTTCATTTATAAAAAATATTGTGCTAATAAATATTATATAAATATTTATTTCTATTTGGATGTATTTCTATATATTCTGAATAAATTTTATATTTTTATAAGCAAAAATAATTAAATCCTATATTTTTATACACAAAATATATTTTTATCGTGTTCCTCTATTTTGTAAGATATAAAAAATTATGAATTAATTAAAAACATTACAATATATAATAAAATCTATCCTCCGTTTCTTATTTTTTATGATATTGATTTTTGAAATAATTATACAGTATAGAGAATTATTAAAGAATTAAAGAATAATAATTATATATATTAATAAAAAAAACGCTAATTTTATGAAATAGTATTGTTGTGTTAATTATGGCATTGTCGCTGTCTTTTATTTTCGATAAATACACATATACATTTAATAAAATAAATAATTTAAAATATAGACATGTATTTTTTTAATATATTATATTTTAATATGTATTTTATAATATATAGAAGAAAATATATAGTCTTATCTCTATAAACATATGTATAAAAAGATAAAAACACGTCACGCAGCATTATTTGAATCAACAAACGATATAAATGGTGCTGGGGTGCAAAGAAAAACTGACGCAGTTATTTATTTAAAGAGAACACAATAAATGAAAACAACTTTAATACTTACACAGAAACAGAAACTAAAAGTATCTAATATCAAACTATACAGTGCCATAACAGTGCCAAACTACATATACATTTAGAAATTAAAGTTTTCATGCGATTTTCACAGCAATCATGCACAATATTAGAAGATAAATTCAATTAATGGAGTTTTTATATTTTAAAAATAAAATTGGTTAAAATAAAAAATATAACTATTAATAAAAATATTTTCAAGTGCTTTTGCCGCTTTGCTATCGCTTGTTGTCACGTGATTTTAGTTACTCATTTTATAACGAAAGTAATTAGTCACACAAACGAGGCGACGAGTTAATAACACGGTATGCATTTTATGCACCAAGTATATTTTATATGTGTAGAATGATATATGCACGAGTAGCCTGGAAAATTTCTGCCATATGCGGGAAAGTTTATTTTGAGTGAAAACATATTATATATATATGAACGTACGCGCGATTTATTTATTAAAAAAATGGTAATTGAAAATATTAATTGCACAAATGTTGTAACAGTACACATAAAAATAGAAATTAAAATAATATTTTATTTTATTTATTGAAAAAATTCAAATTTCTTATATTAATAACTCCTTTCCGTCAATGTTAATGGTTGATAATATTGTATAATTTATATCTCTCCTAAGTTATATCTTCTTTACTTTCAATATATTTTTTTGATTTTATTATCGTAACTTGTAATAGAATAAAATAATTATAAATTTAATTTAATTTAATTAAAAGTAAGTTCAGGAGCACACACATCTTATTTTTCAATAAATAAACAAATCGAATAAATTTTGTAAAGCCAATTTGTTTGTTTTAATATTATGTTTATACGGAACATTTTAAAACTATCTCTTAATATTTTGGAAGTAGATTATTTTTCACAAATAAAAGTACCCAAAATTACAATAAGTATCCACAATTTTTCGATTAAAACAAATTGTGAATTTGCAAAGAAACGCACCTAAAAAGTATATATAAGTTATTGAAGCTTATTCTTACTTTTAATTTTAATATGTAGACATTTGTTAGATTTTTAAATTAGCAAATATCTTGTTGAAAATAATATAAAAAAAATTAAATTCTCATTATTATTTGATCCCAAAATATCAATTCATTTATGCATACTCTATATATTCGCAAAGTTTCCCAATCCATTCCTAAGTCAATCTGTATAGAGAGATTAAAACTTAAATTATATAATTATCTTATATTATATTTTATTACTTGTGTCATTATAGCTATATCGTTTTTAGTATTGTAGATAAGATTCAGAATCAAATCATATCTAATGTAATAAAATGTCACTCTGATTTGATGTTACTAAATTAATATTAAATATCATTGAACTGTGTCTTTAATTAAAAGAACAAAGATTATATTTTTGCGCAACGTTGCAAACAAAATATCTTGTTTCATTAGTCATAAATATGCTGTAACATTGCACACTTGTCACTCCAGATTATCAAGTTTCATAAAAAAAAAGATCGTTAAGGTGCTAATCATAACTCGTATAATCTTCATTAAGAAACATTTTTGTAATATGAGTAATTTGCTTGTCGTAATGATGCAAAGAATGCAAGATTGCATAAAATATTTATTTAAAATCATGTAAAACGTTGTATCGTAATCGTTACGGCGGGATTAATTCACTTTTATATAATATTTTTTTAATAAACAAATAATTTCGCGCAATAGTAATTTTGAATATATTTTATAACAATTAACATTTAGCACATATTTCTGAATATCCTGATTTCAATTTAACACGCGATGTGTTCGATGACATAATACTATGTTTGGATTCTATCGCGTTTGTCTTTCTCATTGTAAATACATTTCACATATATACTCTCAACAAAATAGTCTTGTCTCTTTCTGACGCGGCGACTAGTTTCAATTTGTCATCGATAAGTGATGAAAGACAAACACAAAGCGACATACAAATAGACAGACACACACACACAGATACACAGGCTAGTCTACCGCTACGAACAATAACGACATAGGCAGGCCCAAATTATGCGGGCAATTAGTCCACGTAACCAGACTCAAATAAAGGTAAACCGATTTGAAGGGTTTATTACGCACGTAAAACGAAAAACTATCATTATTGCACATAAATAAATACAAAAATTATATTGAAATTAAAATAACAGAAACTTCCGCTTTCCTGTTTATTATTTTTGATAATACATATTATATTATGCTAATAATAGCTTCATAGTTATAATATATTATGTAAACCATTTATTAATTATAATATTAATAATTATTATACATCTTATTGTTAGTATACATTTTAATGTATCCATGTAGTGAATCATGTAATTTATCGATGTATGTCATATCAAATAATATACAAAGCTATCTCTCAAATTTCTATATCTTGTTGCTTTTACTGTTCTCCGTTTTTAGAACATACTTTATTTATTTTATTAAAAATTTTATATTCTCTATATTAAACGCATACATATGGGTGTATACTGTACACATTATTTAAAATAATTGAACCACTATTTAAAATATTGTCAAACATTGTAACTATAATCAATTTGATTTAATTTGAATGCATTATGAATAAACTAGACACAAAGAAATTTGATGAAAAAATTTATTGTTCAAATTTTATTGTGAAAAATTTGCCCGTATTAATTTGTACATTCTAAATATTTTATTTTGTCCTATTTTGAAAACACTGTTACCTCGAAATTTTGTACTAGCGATCTTTAATATTTAGTAAACCCAGAGAGATCCATACGAAATACCGAAATAAATCTTTGATAAACTGTTTTAATATCTTTTATTAAAAATCTGATAAATGAAAAAAGCAAAACTCCACATGTGAAGGCTGTACAAGCCATTTTCGATGAAATAAAATAATGTAACAACGAATCTCGTAACGAACCCTTCAATTCTGTCAGAAATTGATCCCAATCCTACAATGATGAAGCAGAGCTTGTCTCATTCGCGCGTTACAAAATTAGATACGCGGACAACGGAAGGGGTGGGAATAGAAAAAAGAGGAAGCAGTCGCTTTCTCACTCGCTTCCTCTTGATGGCACAACGAATATCAGTTACTACGCGACCTGCACAACGATATCATAGGAATACGCTATCGCACGTAGGTCGAGTGTCTATACAGACACTAGACGTTCTCAAACTAGCATAACCATACCACACGTGGGGGTAGAATGTCATCTATGCCTCAAGTGAGAATAACCCCGAAACGAGACTGATCGATCGCTCGATAATCACAGAATGCTACGCATTCGTATGCTTTGCGAAAATAAACTAAATGTCATAACCCGCTGAGATATATTATCGTTGTGTTTTGCCAGACTCGGATTTACCACGTATATCAATCTTTTCTTTCTTATGTATATACACAGAATACTTCACATCAAATAATTTTATCAGTGTTATTAATGACAATAAAAAGTATTACGAATAAAATCACAGGTCAGATTTTAGAAAATATCTATTTTAGTGTATATAATATTCTTGATTTTTTCTCGAGAGGCTTTTATATTCTATAATATTTATTTTATCCTCAATTTGACAAAATACGTGAGCAAGGCAAATTATATGCAACATCCTGTACGTGTCTGGCCTTGTCACTGATAGCGAAACAACTCTCAATAAATACTTGATGAGTTATCGCAGTTATATAAGAAGTCGGATACTACATTCAAGGACGTATAAAGAAAGATAAATCTTTTGAAGAAGATGCGATACTTTCTCGTTTCTACCCCCGATTGTGGTAAATCATAAGTTATGTGGAAGTTATGTAGAAGTGTCAGGCATATGGATACCGATATTGTCCTCCGTGTCGCTCACTAGCGAATCCTCGGCGTCGGTCAGGTCCTCGAAAGGAAAATTGCAGCTCGGGGAGATCAGGCCTATCGAAAGAACACAGAGAGAAAGGAGAAGGATTGTTATCGTCACGATAATTTCGCGCCATGCACGACTTATTTTCACGGACGATAAAACGCTCTTTATCGTCAACGCCGTTATTCGTAGAGGAAGACAGACCTGTGACTGTTGGGGGTGGTTTGTTGCTTTTATCAAAGAATCAAATCTATAGGTAGATCAAAGTGCAAGGGATCAACTGGCTCACTTATTGATTGACTCTCGACTCTTGATTCTCTAGTGGTATGTGTGCGTCTATTGGTATGTAAGATGTTGAGCTTGTGACATATACTTTCCAGTTGTGTCTGTATGAGTTTATTTGTATCGTACCGTAGATAGAGAATAATCTCTTCGTATAATCCTATTATATATATATACAAAGTCTGTCGAATTAGCTCGCTTTAATCTGTATTCGTATAATCTTACATAAAATAAAATTTAATTTTTTTTCAATTAAATTATATTTCATAGATTATCAGTTAATACGTAGAATAAATTCTCCATAATAATTATTAAGAATAAAGTTGTATTTATATATAATTACCGTTCTCTTAAGCGCAAACGAATCATTAACTGACAATGAGACGCGATGTACAAAATCGCAATTAATCTCGCGTTTAGATATATATTGCTAAAGAATCATTTCTAAACGAATATCGATAATGCCTAATAATAAATATTGCATATAGCTCGCAAGAGTAACATTCTTTAATTTTATAAACCAGAAACCATTTCCGAAGAAATTTATAGAAATATAACTATTAATATATTAGCCAAATCATATACATATATGTGTCATGTGTATCATATAAATATGTATATACATATACACATATATATTAATGAATTAACCAAGTCAAAGTAAAACGCGTAAAGCGAGCAAGCAAGCAGTGGCAGCTTCTAGAGTATATAGTGATGTGGTAGTGATATATAAGTACAGGAATATATTAAAATGTGTAGCATAATATAATATTTGTGAATACGGTAAGTGTGTATGTGTGATATATATATAGGTATATATATATATATATATGGCGTGAGGTGACAAGGCTCCTGCGGAAGTAATAATTAAAGGTTAGATCAGGCTTACCCTCGCTGTCGGCCTTCAAGTAGAGCTGCCCCTTTGGGCTCAGACACTGTCGATACTCGGTCGTGTAACATGCTGTATTCATTCAAACCAAATTTCAAGTTATCAGTGTGTCAGACGACGCGATATCCTGTTACTGCCTAATTCAATCCGCAAGGAAATGTTTAAAAGGGAAAACTCATTGATACTCATTTTCTTGTCATTCTTTAGGAAAGATATGTCAAGTGTTGGACTGATATCTTACGGGCAAAATCAGGAAATATTAGCTTCCCGAGAAATAAATATTGAGAGAAACGGTAATGTGTGTTATACGTATCTAAATCAAAAACTTTTCATTGAAAAGTAATTTATTTCGACAGCAAGTGGATTCGATTGCGAAATTCATATGTAAAAAGTTGCAAGTCCCAATTTATATTACGGTTTAAAGTCGATGTCTGGTCTATATTTAAAACGATGTCTACTCTTAGAATGCTAAATTTCGAACTGAGAAAAGCAGAGATAATAGCCGTGAAGATGAAAAAGATTAATACCTGATTGAGCCTAATAGTATAATTTCTTAGCAAAACAAGAAGGCAATTAAACTATATCAACTTAACTACAGCGAGTAAAAGTTTTTATCATATTTTTATATTTTACTACCAAGTGACGGAAACTTTCTGACATATAAAAGTATATATTCAAAATTATTAGATTCGTAATTATTATCATTTTTTTATGGCAACATCCCAATGTAATTAAAAGGTTTACTTATTAATACGGGTGAAAATGTCATAATCTACCATTGTACTGTAATTCATTCATTCATTGTACATTCTACAATGTATTCTAAATGTACAACTTTTTGATAACGTATGTTATTATTAAACACATCTTGATCGTCTTATCATCCATTAAATATTAATCATGTCAAACAAATGAAATAAAAATAGAAATTTTATTCAGTGGGAGGTCGACCGATAATGCGTGCGTTCTATCAACAGCTCTTAACGGCGATGGAGTTTAACGCGATGCTATTGTTGTTCTAATATGAATAACATATATAATTATTAATATTACGTTCTAATATTAATAACATAATATTAATACAAATGACGTAATTATATAATATAGAAAAAAAAATTTATTTCAAAACTAAAGACGCTTTAATATCGCATGGCTATAAATGGGAGACAAATCGCTTAAAAATGTATGATAATAATGTAATTGCGCTGCTCACGCAAAGAAAATTTGAAATTAGTCCAAGATATATAGCGATCTATAAAATAGTATCTACGAGTGCTGCTAATAATAAGAGCATCTACTTATTGTGGAACCATGCGATATTAAAGCAGTGAAAGATTATAAAAAAATGCATAGACATCAATCGATTGCGGCTGATCAGAAAAGAGAGCATCACGATTGTCATAGGGAAAAAATCCGATAAAAGCCGTTGCATTCTGCACATCGAACATCGAGAAATTTTTTGAATGTGATTTGCCAATCATCGACCAAGCCAGCCAATAATCGCAGAGTAGGGCATTCAAAAAAACGATATAAAAACAACGAATATCTTTGAAGTGACGCTTGATGAGAGCCAGGAACATTGTATCGTCGGTAAAAAAAAAGAAAAAGAAATAAAAAAGACAGAAATTTGAATTACAAATTCTGAAGAGGCAATATTCAATGCGCTTTTGGTAGAGTTTTTTGCCCTCGTTCGTTAACATTATTAGCGTTCTGGCATTGTGTAAGGATTATCATATCTTTATCAACAGTGCCATGTAGGAAAACATTTTCTCAGGGGACGCGGCACAATTTATTATGTGAGAACTTAATCACTTTTATCTACAGACGCGCGCGTCAGCATACACCCTCGGCAATAATTTCTGTATCCCAGAAGACGTGCTCAGTCGCTTCTTGTCGCTGAATATTTTATAGCTCACTCCTTTTGGTGTCATATACAAAAAGAAGACCGTAATTAAACGACACTCATTGAACTATTTGTCACAATGAATCTAGCTAAATGTTAACAGAGATTTTTAATTAATTTCTTCAAATATATAACACGCAATCAATTAAAAATAAAACGAAATATAGTATATGTTACAAAATAGGTACGTATTTTGTTTTGCGTGAAAAAATAAAATTGAAACTATGTTGTATCAATAAATTATAGTTTAAAGTGTGTGCTGGCACACACAACAGAATACACAAATATATTTATATTGTGTCTGCAATAAAAGATTTAATTTTTCTTTTACAGTTCATTAAATTTCAAAAAAAATGTAAAAGCTTTACATCGCTACAAGAATAAATTAAACGTACAAATATACTCGATATACATATTTATAAAAAATGTACTCAATTATTATATCCAACATGTATACATAAATATTTTATATATAATGTTTTGAGTTAAATGAAGAATATCATTTTATAATTAAACAAATTATTTTTAAAGAAAAATTTCTGAGTTAATAAATCATTAAGTACAAGATGTATATAATTGGTTGAACGTTTAATCACAAATAATCCTAAATATAGTTTCACATTCATAGTCGATAAATAATTTAATAAATTTGGCCAATCTCTGCACATAAACAATTTATTTAATTATTACTCTAATAAAAACAAATATCTTTGATGCTTATTTAGCAGCAAATAGCCTTAATATACATATGCGCATTGAATAGTACCTCTCAAATATAATCAATAATCAGAATTAAGCGTATATAACACTTAAAAGTATATATTTAATGTTAGTATATTTTGTTTAACATAAAGATGGCGTCGGCGTCAGCTTATAATTTTGACTAACAAACTTTTACTTTTGATTCATCTATTTTCTCGTATAAAATATTACAACACAACTAAAATTTAAATGTACTTGCGTTATTTATAAATTCTTCTTTCAAATAACATCTTTCTCTGTTATAAACTGTGTACTGATAACAATACAAAAGCTATTATATTCCTGTTTATGAAAACTATTAATCACGGAAAAAAAATGACATTTACTTTGTATTTTTCTTTTTATATCGTTCATAATAATTCATAATAATATTGCTCTTGCCCTATTTTCGCGTCTCCTAGCGCCGACTCCACTTAAAAATATTATGAAAAATTTAGTAATCTTAATGCTGTCGCGCTAAAAGCAGCACGACGTCAGCTCTCGTGAACTATATCATAGAATAGAAGGGGTTGCAGAGTGGTTCAAGAATTTGCATAGCTTTTTGAATAAACTCTCTCTTTTACACTTTGACAATTATATATACTTCAGTTCAAATAATTTAGTTACCACGATTTAATCGATACGTCTTATTCAATGTCTTATTTAAAATATTGGAGATTCTTGAACCTTAAATAAAAAATCACTCATCAAAAACTATTTATTTGTCAATAAAGTATTTCAAAAAAATCATTAGACTTTTGAAAATAAATAAGCAGAGAATCAACTATACTTCTCGTTTACAAAAATATATAATTATCTTTTCTCAGTTAATAATAATAATAATAAACACATTTTTTTCCTTCCTCTCTCACTTTCCCTTTCTTTCCCCTCCTTTATTCTCATCTCTCTTTTTCTCTCAACATAACATAAAATATTCGTACGTCAAATAATCAATTTCAAATATTTGCAGAATTCTACTCCTACTCAATATAATACACAGATTTAATATTTGTCTAGAAATAGATAAATAAAACCGACATTTTCAAACTTTTTTAGTTTAATTGAAGTGCGATAATTAATATACAGACAGAAAAAATAAAGATTAAAAAGATTAAAAAATGTTATTTTATTAATTCTAATTTATACTACTAGAGGATTAAATCATTTTTTTAGCAAAATTGTGTTGTAGTAACTACTTGTTCACATTTGCTATTATAACATTTTGCTATTATAAACAGCTGTAATTTTTTCAAAATTAATTTGCAACATTAAAATTTTGTTTTTATAAGATAACTTTCTAATTTTTTGAGTATTTTATAACGTGATTAAAATTTATAAATATATATAGTATTAATAGTATATAATATTATATATGTACACATTTAACAGTTATTAGTTTAATGCCACCCAATGTAGCCGTATAGAGTTATTTTTATGATAATGATTGTAGAACTGCCGAGTTGAAAAAAATATTATTAATAAAAGCGAGGTCGACCATCTCAGAGCTGACGTTGTGCGATACTCCTCTAAGTGAATGTCTCTCGCGTAAAATGCTATATAAAATAAATCGCGAAAAAAACGATAAATAAATTAGAAGAAGATGTGAACGTACCAACGCCATTGGACTGCGAAGTCGGGAGTTGCACAGCAACGCCGAAGCCGCGCAGCTTCACCGGAGCGGAATTCTCCTTGCCAGCTAGAAGGGCGCACTGCGGCTTCAGGTCACGATGAATAATGTCGTTCTCATGGCAGTAACGCAACGCTTCAAGGATCTGTCGCATGTAGTGACTGTAAAAGAAAGTACAGTTTTCTTAGATGACAGCGTTTGCAGCTGCACGTCAAGAAAGAGCCCTTACAATCGCAAGAACAATAGTGAAGACAGTACAAAACGAGCATTTTCGCGATACAAGAAACGAGTTTTTTACCAAGAACTTAAGTAGAGCGATTAAAGTACGCCTCGTTACGTCATGTAATGATTTTACACCACAAAGTCCTAGAATCTTTTAACGATCCCACCTGGGAGAAGAATTTAAAGGAGAGTGAGCAATATAATAAAACAATAATACAAAAGTATGTAATTTATAATATAAAAAATAAAATAATAAAAGATTATTAATAAAGATTATTTAATTGTGTCTCCAAATTAATATATAAAATAACGATAGTGTTATATATATAAAGAGAGCAAACTTTTTGGAATTTAATTGTTTTACAAAAAATCTACATTTTTTGACATCTTAACACGATCTCTGACATTTCTTTTAACTAGCAAATGTATTAAGAAATAATAGATTTAATGTACACGTGTATGTATAGTGTAAAACCCTTGCCAGCTGACTCTTGACATTTTTATATATTTTTTATAATATGCAAAAAAGAAATGCAGTCTAATAAAAACAAGATATCGATGATACGATATAGTTAGGCGATGATGAAAATATTAAAAATATACCATATATAAACAGGAATATAATGTAGTTCTTTTAGTGTATTCATCGTGCTTTTATTGAATCAATCAAAGTAGACTTTGATATGATCTTTCATGCACTTTATATGTTACATACGATAAATGTATAATGTTCGTGGATTTGACATGTGATATTAGCGATGAAATGCCTTTGATATTCAGGAATGGAATATAAGACACGAAAACATATTTCAAGACAAAAGAAAGTATAAAAGTTTCAAAAGATTTTTTGTTTGATCCTGGAAAACATTTAGTTTAAATATATTGAAATATATGCATGTTTGTAACAAATATACTCTGAAGATTATTTGTATACCCCAATTTTTATGAGATAATAAAAAAATAAAATCTCTGTATTTTTACATTCAAACATTATTTTATAAATTATACTATTTGCATCACATTAGTCATATCAAATAATACATTGACTTATAATTCTCTCCGTAATATGAATGATATAATAGCATATTTGTGACAAGTTTTAATAGGATCCTTCCGAAGTGAAGACTAGTACTAGTTCAAGCGTGACATAAACGAGTATAGCGAACCTAATGGATCGCAGTCAAGGATTTATCGAGACAGGGATTTATTACGCGCCAGGGAGACTCTCTCTCTCTCTCGAGAATCTGCGTTTGCATTATATCGAGGTGTAACATACAAACGATAATCACGTTTCACTATAAGCTCCAAGCAACTCAGGGAAACAGAACAATTAATTTATCAAATTTCCCTCCGCCTATATAAATGCAATTAATGAATAGATTAAAACAACTTTTGATACAATCTTTTGATAATGTAAAAAAATTTTTAATTCATAATTTATTAAAAATAATATTGTAACTCTTTCCTAATTTATATGTGTAAACTCTCTTGTGTAATTTTTTAAACGGTTTTGAGAGAATATGATAAGTTATAAAAAATATATAATTATCTATATATCAATCAGTGCTATTTAAAACGTTTAAGACCGAATGTCTTCATATATGTATATCGTATTACATCTAAAATAAACGATGTTAGTCTTCAATAGGTAATGTTTAATGAACATACTGTGGATTTACGATGTAATAGTATGCTCAAATATATGTGTGTATATATATATATATATATGTATGTGATAGGTGAATGAGCGAGTGTGTGTGCGCACGTGCGTGCATCTGTACGTGCGCTCGATGATAGATATAATGAATTTTCTTACCTAGCAACCGCCTCGCTGTATACGAATCCAGAAGTTGCTCGTCTTACCACCTCGAAGCATAAATCAGAACCATCCATGCTGAAAAAAGTTGGGATATTAAAACGAGAACGATGATGCACGATATTAAAAAGATCTATTCTAAATTGTCTTCTTTCTTTTTCTTTAAAATTTTTAATTTTTATTATATTATTATATTACTATATTATATTATTTATTATATTATTATACATATATAACGTATATATCATGTATTTATTAAAATTTTTATTTTTTATTATATGTGTTATACAATTATAACGTATTAATAATTTAATTAATTAATGCTTTATCTACTTGTATCAAATGTTTAAATTTACAAACACAAAATTCAGAGTATTTACACTTTTAATTTGTAAAAATTACTAAAAATGAATAAAAATATTAATAAAAAGGAATATTATCAATCATATATTAACAATGACCAAATATTGATTATTAGGATTTCTTATAGCAAAAGAAAAATGTTCCATTAAACTAAAGAAAGTATTGGGGTGCAATTAAGTGTCATGTTATTTAAATAGTATCGTTAAAAACGCCTTGAGCATCGAGTCTATTAAAAACCGTAGCTATATCTTATCCGATAGCGTAGATTATTTCAAGAGTACCTCGGATATATGTATCCAATTATAGCAAACTATAGTAGAACGTTATAATAGATGGCAAACAACTAAATGGAAAACGTGCCTTTCGCGAGTAAAGATAGAGCCGCTAAGGAAATGTATTTATTTTGCCGAGTTTTTATTTTCGACAACTGCATATGATGCTTTTCCATTTCGGCTTTCAAAAGCGTAACATTCAATCAATCTCAAGGTTATAATTGTGTCAAGAAACCAAGATAGTAAACTTGTCAACATATAAAAAAACGAGAACTGATATTTCTTTTATTAAAAAAAAAAAAAAAAAAAAAAAAATATGTTAATTTAAAACATACAATTGTAATAATTTATGTTGCTATTTTTTTACAACTCTAATATTTTTTGAAACCTATAAAATTGCTTTATTATCCCGGCTTAAATAGATAAATAGCTAAATGTTGAATAGATATAGGAAAATATATGTTTATTATTTATATATTAAATGTTATATTAATGTGCTAATTGGTAAATAATGAAAAATGTGATCACCAAAATTGTAAAATATGTTTACATACTTACTATTCAAATACCATGTATAACATGCCCTCGGAACTGTAGGTTTCCAGTAGTTCCACAATATGTGGATGTTTCAGCATATGGCATATTGTAGCTTCTCGTTTCAAATCTAAAACATAAAATGTAACATATAAAATCTAGCAAATTTTCACGTATTAATTATCGCATAAATTGTAATCACTGAGTAATCGCATTAGTAAAATCTGCACAAAAATAATTTTAAACTAATTTTAAATTATTTTATTTTATTTATATCTAATTTATTTAATTTATAATTATTTTATTACGATAGATTTTTATGTACAAATCAAGAAATATTTAAAATTTAACACTTTACAACAAAGAATTTTTAAATAAAAAGCTACACATATTCAGAAATTGAACGCTAAGAGAAAATTAAAAGTTATTAATATGACGTATGAAATAATTGCGAAGCAAATGTTTATTTGAATAGTAAATATCATGCACAGCTAATACTCTCAAATTTTATTGTTATATAATATTATATAATATTAAAAATTATATTATATAATATTATATAGAGTATAATAATTATTATATATTGTATAATATTAATTAATATCATTATTACAAATATACATATAAATTTACAGAAATTTATAATTAAAAATTTCAGATGAAAGTAATATTTAAAGAAAGAGAACAAGATTTACGTAAACACACACACACACACACACACACGCACACATACACATGCACACTCGTACGCACACAAAATTGTCAAAAAGAAGAGATTATTTTAAGCCAATTTCAGTTAAATAAAACTCGTATCTGGATTTAAATGCCATATCTCGATCGAATATAAAAACTTCGTTTCCCAGATCGTTTTTACCAGACTCAATTTAGATGCCGTATCTGCATTGAACTGCAATGAACTGCAATGGAATCTGCACTCTCAAGCAAAAGCTACGAAAGTCTGCTGCAATAACGGAAGCGCACGTATTTTTCAACTTTGTATTAAATCAGAAATGTATTATAAAAAGGTGCAAGAAACTAATTACAATAGTTTTAAACAAAACTTATAATATTTAACATTTATATTTACATAAAAACTTTGCAGATAACGTTTGAAAGAAATTGTTTAATACATTTACATTTTTGTACAATTTCATATATTTAAAAAAAATCAAAGTAAAAGTGAAACTAAAAGTACGATTTATCTTCTTAAATTAATTAATAATTATCAGAGTTATTAACAAAATTTCAATATAAAACGATCGAACTCGCTCCCTAACTTTTACCCATAAATCCTTTGACTAATTAAAACTGTAATTATAAAGCTATTTAATAATATTAATAATATTAACTTTCTTAACAAAATGTATCACAAAATTATGTTATACTATTTTAAAACTTAATAAAATTAAATCTTTGTAATCAAGTGTTCTAAAAATTTCGTCGTTATAAATTTTATTATATAGAAGCTCAAGAATATAAAATTTTGCTTTTTATTTGCAACTCAATTTGATATATTTTAATTGTTATAAATAACAAATTTAATATCTGTTTTTATTATAATTAATAACGTGTCAATAATTGAAAAATATTGGTTTCTTAAATATGATAAAATAAAGCTTTTTCTCTACTACTGAACTATATTTCAATTGTTGTCTATTTGCTAATTACTCATGCATGCTAATGCATGTTATGTATATATGGTTAAATATTGGTTTTATTTCCGGAAAAATACACTTGATTAGAAAAAATCGATTTTAAAACAATGGTCCTCGTATATCGTCTGGACCTGTCACCCGGTATGTTGGGTTAAACCCCCGAAAAATGTGCAGGTCCGCCTTTCCAATTGCACAATGGTCCTCGCATCGGTTCATGACTCGAACCCACGTTCAGTCGATCGCACAGCATTGGGAAAACGCGTGTTGTCAGATACGCAGACAAGGGAGTAAGTATAGATCTTGTTTCGAACATTCGATGGAAACTAATGGTAGAGTATTTACAAGGAAATGGAATATAGACATATAGAAGCTATTTCCTTTCTTATTTCAATACACATTGAATGTAAAATCAGTTCGAAATATAAAATTTTTATTTCTTGTATATATACCTGATTAGGAAAATCAATGAAAATTTGAAATAGTCTTTTAGAAAGCTAAATCAATATATCTGCCTATTTAAACAATCAAGCGAAAATCATAAAATATATATAAACGAAAGCATAATATTAAAAACATTTTATCAGTTACTCAATAGATTCTTCAAGAAAACTGCGTAAAATGTAAATTTAATTAATAAAGTGTGAAGAATCATCATAAAATGTTTTGCTAATACTACAAAGTGCATGTTTAATACAAAATTATTTTTGTATTAGTGTTTCGAAGAAATAAAAATAAAATAATCTATTTTCACTTTTAATACTAAAATTTTAATTATGTCGCATTTTATATTTGTATATATATGCATATAAAAATATGTAATAACCTTTTATTAAGCATGTTCTTTGCACGTTCAAAACTCATTGAAATCGAAGAAAGACATTTCCAGTTATTTTCTTATTCGGTATGTCTCCCTTGTGTATCATTCTCTATACATACTCACCTGCAGTGCTGAGCCCAGGGCTGGAAGTGAACTTCGCCACATCGACGATTTTTACGGCAAAAATCTGCCCGGTCTGACGGTGAATGCATTTCCGAACGACGCTGAATGGTCCCCTGCAACAATGCGGATGAGACGTCAACACTAATAATTATTAGTGTAATTATAATTACTCTCACAGGAGTTACTTGAATTCACAGATCGAATAGAAGGCATCGGATCGATAAGCATAGACATTCATAATTAGATATTATGTAATATTTAATACTTGACAAAAAAAGAAATAAATTTTACATATTGGAAAAAAAGGATTGTTTTTAATAAGGAATTATTTCTTTGTATAAAAGTATTTATCATATAAAAAATGATTGTCTCGAAAATTTGTATTTTTATATAATTTATATCTTAATTAATGTCTATTCTTCTTTCAACAAAATTTTATTTATAGGAATTAAATTCTAATTTCCACTAAAAATAAAATATAAAGTTAATATATGGGTTTTTAAAATATATTGACAAATAATCTTTAAAGCTTGTAAAGAAATTGTAAAATGTTAGAGTTCCGGTGTTAAAGGATATCTTGAGATTTCTTTAACATCACTTTATAGACCAAGGTCACGTCCTTCCGGTGACCTAACGCCATTTTTAAATGTCGCGTGCACTATGACTCTCCATTTTTCCTACGCATGCATGTACTAATTTTGATGTACTATCTTTGCAACCATACTGTACATTTAGATGTAAATTTTATACGAGTTTTTACAATAAATATAAGAAAATGTAGCGAAAGGAAATGTCAATATAGATTATAGTTCATTGAAGAAAGTAGAAATTATTTCAATTAGGAATTAGAAAAGAAAAAATATATTTAAATTTAAAAAATATTTCAAGAACTTGATTTAATATAAAAATAATATTTCTAGCATATAAATTTTGGTAAAGATATAAAACGTTTCTTGCTAATAAATATAAAATATTTTTAATTTAAATATCTATTGTTGAGTTATGTACAAGAGAGCAATATTAAGATTTAACAAAACAATTATTAAACTTGGCAACCTTGATTTCGACGTAACTAACAATTTTATTTAATTCTTTCACAGTGAAAGAATTAAATAAAATTGCTAGTTACGTCGAAATCAAGGTTGCCAAGTTTATTTTCACCACTAGCGTCCAATAATAATTTTGATTAAAAATAATTATTTTTTTTTAAGAATAAACAACTATAAACTGCAAACAATAAGATAAACTAATATGAAATTATATCTATACATATAGATTAATGTTAGTAATATTGATCAGTTTGTTGCTCTTATAGAGAGAGAGAGAGAGAGAGAGAGAGAGAGAAAAAGGAAGAAAGATTTTATACAGATAAATTACATATTGAGATAGATATTTTCATCAATATTTTGAGACAAAAATGTTTAATATGAATTTGTACCTTATAAGAATTGAAGGTACAAAATATACATTTACATTTATATTTTGAATAATTGTAAGCTTGTTTTTCCGAACAATCTAATTATACGAACAATCTAATTTCTGAAAATCGATATATCACATATTTAAATAATATAGGAAAAAAGAGACAGATATATCTATTCTCTATATAAGATAGATAATCTATGAAACAAGCAGCTTTGCGAATGAGCGTAATGTACAGGAGTATGAGTAGATCATATGGTCAGCCTTATACGTAAGGATTTAACTGGATAGTCTCGATTATCTATCGAATGATAACCACGCACGCATTCATGGAATTCGTGAAAACCCACAATGTCGTGTGTATAGCATCTCAACATCTGTCCCTGTGGTTCGTATAATGACAGTACATCATGATATCGCACGCAAGAATTTCTATATATGCGTAAATTATTATAAATATAAAAAAGTAAATTGTATAAAGTCTTGTTTACACCATATCTCTATATAAGAATGTTTGTGCTTTAGATTTACTTGTTGTTAGAAATTTCTCTTTCTTTATTCTCTACATTTGTTTCGACATTTAAAAAGCTAATTGTATCCTCTATATTCAATCAATATATGTATAAGTGAATTGTTGTCGAAATATATAATAAAAAACAATTAAACTATTAATTTAAATTATTTAAAGAGAAGCCAAATATCTTGAATAATATAATGTTAATAGGGTCTTAACTTTATGGTTTCGTAGAAGAAATTTAGCGATATACATCATACAACTGTAATAAATTAAAATTTTTTATCTCAGAAAATTATTGAATTAAAACTAAATATAATATTTTTAATTTTAATTTGTAATATCGAATCGTAATAGTAATAACGTAAAATAGTATAATTATACATCATAAATAGTAATAATAATTCAACAAATTATTTTAAACTTATAATTGATTGTTAAATCATTAAAATCATCTATTTATATATTTAATTATAATTTTGTAAATGTTTTATATTCACATACATTTATTGTATTTTTTTAACGTACGAAATAATGATTATACGTTAAAGTTTGAGGTGTAAAACATAATTCTAATGTTTGGAAATAATATCAAATCAAAATATTTATTAAATGTTGACACAAATTATAAATTAGATATAATAATAATTAATTACACCTATATATATATATATATATATATATATATATATCGTATTTTGAATGACATAATACATAAAATAATAATTGATAATATCCTTGCATTCGCATACTAATATTTAAATTATTTATAAAAAATTGTAGTCATGTAATTGTGTCTTTATTGTGTTTCATGTTTCTCAATACAATCCTTAGTTAAAAAATCGATGTAGTGCAGTTCTTTAAAGTGGTCCTACATAAATCTTTCACTGTAACACACAGGCCATCACGGCATATCCGCGAACGAGTTACTATACATCTAACCCTCGTTTTTCGTTGTTAAAAGCTCTCTTACAAGACGGCTCTTGAGTGCCTTAAGATCTTCATAAAGCGATTGGCACGACAGCGTAATCCGCCTTTTATGAGAAGTTATTGACATCTCGTCACTTTCCGGAAGGGATCAAACACTATCGCGACCTACATTCGAAACTGATTTTTCTTTTGAAAAAGAATATTTCTCTAGGATTTTTTTATTTTTGTTTTAATTAGACGTATGACTATATATATTCTTATTTATTTATCTCCTAACATTTTAACATCCTATGTATAATGAAAATGTAAACGAAATTGACCTATCGATTGATAGTGTTCTGTACCTTGTATCACATTTTATCTTTTATCTGTATATACAATTAGTACTTCTTTCCTTTCTTTAAAAAGCGTACTGAAGGCAAACGTAGTAAAGACAAGCCATTAATGAACAAGTTCTCACCATTGTCAAATGGCGCTCTATTTAACCTCTTGGCCATTGTAAATTAGAGCTCGAATCTGTCGTAATTGAACTTTGCCCTCCCCAATTGATACAAGTTCGAAGACATTTAGAGCACAGATGCAAGCATCCCAATTTTCATACAGACTTTCAAAGTAGCAATTAGCTGTTTGAAATTTTAGGTGAATATAGCATACCGTTTACATCAAAACTATAACTAATGCTATCTAAAGATAGCATGCTGTAAGGTGTTACATTCAAATTATTGATTTATAATATAATTTATAGTTCAAAAAGGTTGAAAAAGATTGTTTCCCATACAGTTAAAATTACAATTATATGTTCGTAATATAAAATATCTAAATAAAGAACACAACATATTATTAATATCTTTCCTTTATCTCAAAAATAGATTTTGCGTCTAGGGATAAAAATGTAATAACAGACGCATATAAAATAGAAGATACTATAAAAATCATATTATATATATGTATGTTCATATTTTATATATTACTTTTTATAAATAATAATTCCATAAGTGTTGCAATATATTTTGTAATTATATAACAGATTACTTTTACAAATTATATTTCAATTAGAAGCAAAAAACTTTGAACATTTTTATTTCAATTTTTTACTCTTATGTGAATCGGAAATTTTTACTCATTGTCACGTTGTTTGGTAGGTTTCAAATTTATCATAATTGGATGTCAGATACTTGCTTACAAATACAGCAGTGCAAAGATACGTAATTACGATGCGTCGAAATTAACGTTCCGTCTTCCATATACTTTATTCGTTTACACGGTATTGGAGTCACGTAACATAAACGTTATAAAATATATAGATTGCGCACTCTCTATCTTAATCGTAAGCGGCACGTGTATAATAGCTATTATAGAAAAGAAGTAAATTATTTCCTTGATGTCTTTATCTCTCTTTAATTCTTATACTATAAATAGAAGGCTATTAAAGCTTTTTTTCTGTTTCTAAATATAACTTCAACCAAACTCTAATTAACTAGTTTGACAATTAATTCAATTAGTAGAATTGTATGTACAGCAAATTTCTAATTATATATATCTGTTTATACTTACTTATATAACAAACGCACAGTACAAATAATAATAATAAATTGATAAGTCTGTTCTATATAAAATATGAAATATTTAATATATAGATACACTTCTCAAAATATAAGGGATCAAAGAAAATTGTTTAAAAAATAGGCCAATTTTAAATAGCTGTAACTTTGTTTCAAGAAATGAGAATTTAAATTTTAAGAAAGAATCTTAAAGCTTGAAATCTCTATTTTTGAAAGGTCATAGCTTTTTTCATTTTCTTTAATTCTGATATTTTTTATATACAGAAAACGACGAACATAACAAAATAGAAAATTTTCTTTTCACTTTGTAGACGTGTTGCATGCACAAGAAAATTAAAAAAATTTTTTGACATTTTCACGTTAAAGCCTAAAGTTTTCCCTTCAAAATCATTTTTAAAATTTAAATTTCGATCTTTCTTTATCAAGTTATCGCAAATTGAAGAGAAAATGTCATTTTCACTTTGATCGTTCATAACTTCGTTAAAAATCATCGTACAGCAATTTTAAGAATGGATTCTTAAAGCTGAATCTTTGCTCTGTAGTATGATATAGAGACTGAATTTTTTTAAACTCATGAACTTTTTACAAATAGGTGAACATAACGAAGAAATTTGCGAGTTTTCTCCTTTTTGTTTAAACTTTGAAAAAATGTTACATAAAATGACTAAAAAGATCGACTGAAATTTTTGTGCCTTCTAGTACCCCAAACTTGAAAAAAATCATAGACTTGCTGTGATAATTTCTTTATAGTGATCCGTATGTTTAAAATGATTAATGTGTACAATATATTAAAAAATTTTGAGTTGCTTTGATAAAAAATAAAAAAAGTAATATCTAGCAGAGAACAATCTTTTCTACATTTTCAAACATAATCTTTTAACTGTCTCAACATATTTAGTAAATGTAAAGTTGCATATTATTTCCAAAATTATCGCCGATATCAGTTTCACCCAAAGAACAATCGTATATCCTCTACGCGATGCGCTTTGAACGAAGTTGATGTGGACGGTAATTTGGAAATAATATACAACTTTACATTTTCTAAATTTTATGTTGAGGCAGTTAAAAGATTATGTTTAAAAGTAGAGAAAAGATTGTTCTGCCACGAATTTTATTTTTCCTGTATTTTTTATCAAGGCAACTCAAGATTTTTTAACATATTGTACACATCGATTATTTTAAACATACGGATCACTATAAAGAAATTGTCACAGCAAATCTATGATTTTGTTCCAAGTTTGGGATATTAAAAAGCACAAAAATTTCAGTCAATAAAATTTCTTGTTATATACTTTAACTTCTTTTCAAAGTTTAAATAAAAAGGTGAAACAAAGACATAATTCTTTTCAAAAAGATGAAAACTCATGCATTTCATCGTTAATTTCATCTATTTGTAAAAAGGTCACAAGATAACAAAAATTCAATCTCTATATCAAACTATAGAGCAAAGATTCAACTTTAAGAATCCATTTTAAAATTGTTGTTTACGATGATTTTTAACGAAGTTATAAACGATCAAAGTGAAAATAACATTTTCTCTTTAATTTGCGATAACTTGATTAAAAAAATCGAAATTTAAATCTAAAAAAATAATTTTGCAAGGAAAACTTCAAACTCTAACGTAAAAATGTCAAAAATTATTTCAAATCTGCTTGTACATGCGACGCGTCTACAAAATAAAAAAATTTTCTATTTTCTATTTTATGTTCGTCATTTTCTATATATAAAAAGATCAGAATTAAAGAAAATGAAAAAGCTGTGACCTTTCTCGAAAGTAGAGATTTTAGAATCCCGTTTTAAAATTTAAATTCTCATTTCTTGAAACAAAGTTACTGCTATTTAAAATTTACACATTTTGTGAATAATTTTCTTTGATCTCTTAATTACTTTGAGAGATGTATATTTGAATGTAAAATATATTTAAAAATAATCTATATATAAATTTAATAATTAGAACCTATAATAAATTTAAAAAATAAAATTTGAAAAATTATTACTAACAATTAGTAATTTATATTGACAAAGTGATATTACTTTCGATAGATTTATTGTCAATTAATAAGTTAATCGGAATTTAATTATGCGCAGCACTTAACCAAAATGCATAATCACATTTATTATGTTTATGAATATAACAGACACGTTCAAGCACACGCAGAAAAGGGAAGAAATGGGAAACTGCAACTATTAAATGGAATTGTTAGTGAAAGCCAGGAAGATATATAATGTTCCTAATACATGGGTGCTCGCGAGATATTTTCAAGGGTACACTTAACTTGCTGGAATATCGTTTTTTATGCCGACAACCCTTTCATCAGACTATTCAGTCGCTTTTATACCACGTGCAGTTTCTGTAGTTACTCTTATCGACACGTACGGATCACATATGCTAACCGAAATGCAGTGCATAAGCGGCAATTACTCGTCTCCCTCGTCAGTTCTATTTAAACTAAAACCGCCTTTCACTGATATTACATTCTCTCTTCTATGCATCGTCATTATAAATTACTTGGAGTTAAACTTAAAGTTATAATGAAACTTATTACTATTAATTTCACCAATTTTTCTTTGAATAATTAAAGGTTAAATTTATTATAATTTATCTTAAAAAATTACTTTATCTTAAAATTATATTAAAAAATTATGTTATAATCATCTTAAAATTATAAAGATATTTTATATAATTAAAAGATATATTAATTATACACAGTTATCGCATCATAAATCTTATTATGTTGATATGCATATGCGTATTATCTAATCAAAATATATTCAAATTAATCAGATATTCTAACTCAAGCAGCTTAATATACCCTGCGGCAATATAATAGCTGCAATAGTGAAAGAGTGAAATTTACATACATAAATTTGCATAAGGCACCAAAATTTGAAAGCGAATCGATAACAGTTTATAGTATCAATAGCAACTTTAAAATTACTAGCAAAATTGTAACATCGCATCTTTCTATTCATATTGATGCTGAGTAATTTAACTGATTGCAAATAAATTTTTCTTCTACTTTTCAATTCAAATAGATTAAGATATATATAGTGATATTGGATATATATATATATATATATATATATATATACAGAATATGATTACTACATACTTTTTTAATTACATAGAAATATCAGGATCAAAAATGATCAAAGAAACAATTCCAAATAATTGTTGATATCAGATATAAAAAACACAAAAATTATAAAAAATATACAAAAATATTAGATAAATCTGAACTATACAATAGTTTTCAATCTTATCTTATGTTAATTAAAGATTCAATAAATTAATAGATTTATAAACAATCTTTAATTGAAATATAAAAAAAATTAATAGAAGACATTAATAAAATCAATAAATTTATGTTTTAAAATTAATGTCATTAAAAATGTGTTTTAAAATGTTAAAAACGACATGTTATTCTAAAGAATTCTCTCTAAATAGATTTAATAAAATAAAATAAAATAAACTTAATAAAGACATAATTTTTATATATAAATTATACTTACAAAAATTACAATATTAAAAACTTTAAAAAATAGCTTTATATCGGAGAAAAAATCGATTCCAAGAATATCAAAGAAATAATAAAATAATAAAAGATACATGTATATTCAGGTGAATATAAATCTTGATATCAATTCATAAAACGTTAATCAACTATCCTTGATTCTTTCAAACCAAATTATAAAACAATTTATAGCGGATTTTATAGATTGTTTGCATTCATTGTATGCATATTTCTCACATAATATAATAATTTTTTATATTACATATGATATATATAGATCTTAATCAATAAATGAAATTAATATAAATATAGATCTAAGTTCTACGGTGGATGAGATGTCGACTTTTCTGTAATAATAATATTACGATAAACATTTTCCATGTTTGTTGAATTAATATTTTCTAGCAACAACATTACACACAATATACATATGTACATTATCATGCATATTTTATTTACATATTACTTAAATGTGCGTTAAATTAATGCATTATTTTTCATATTAAGCTGAACAAAGCTTATCTGTATTTATATTTCAATGACGTTTTTGTCTAACAAATTTGTGCAATGCTTTGTCAGTAAACAATATGTTATCTCATGACAACTGATAATCAAATCAACATTTCATCGGAGATTATTGGATGGGTATATAATCATCGGTGAGTATAAAATCGATGAAAGAGAGGGAAACAGGTTTTAACCGTACGGTTACTCGAATGCTGTCATGTTGGCGGTCATTGCGTTTCTCGCGTACATCGCTTCGGCATTAGCGTATAATGCTGGTAAATTATTCGATTATTTCACAATATCGCCGCGCAAATTGTTCGTGTAAACATCAATTTATAGTGATTTGCAATTACAGCTGTTTATAATAATAATATTCTCAGGTGCCGAATGTGCAGTCTCTACGAAGTATAAAATCGGCGATCTCAAGGAGCCTCAACCATTGCTCCTAAAGCGGGCCACCAAAAGTACGATCATTTGGAATCCGGATAATGATAATGGAACGCTAAGTATACGAGCGGACGACTTCATTTACTTAGCATGCCCAGGCAAAGACAATTATCTCAAAAACAGAAGTTGGGGTAATGAGGCCAAAGCAGTTTGTGTCGAGGATAAGGTGTTTGACGTGAATGAAGCTCGCCACAATTTCTCATCCTTAGTTTGCAAATCTCATCCCAAGCATTATGCCAAGCACACGGGCTCGCTACCTTGTCTTGACAGACACAGTCCCATCGAGATTGGTTTCAACGTGAGCAGCACTTTCATCCGCACTATTGAATTATGTCGCGACGACAAAACGTATACGACATACTATACAAAGTTCAAGATGTCAAAAATGATCCAAAGTTATCAACAAAGCTATCCCAGGTAAGATCCCCTAATATACGAACATTTCGCTAATCGATGTTAGATATGATATTGATATATATATATATATAGGTATATTATTAATATTTCAATAATTAGAAAATTATTGATAATATTAAATTATAATGTCATGTATAGAATTGTAACATCTGATCGATATACTTCTTTTTTACCTAGCTATCTTCTATATAATTTTGTGATTATACTTGTATTAAAATACAATCACATTCAAAGAATTAAAATATGCATACTGCTCGTAGTAGTATGAAAAATGATATTTATCCTTGACTGGTATATAATTGCATGTTTCAGACCCCCCAAGTTTTTAGCGGGCAGATTTTATCCTGGGATAAATTTAGACCATTTATATAAATTCGAAACCCAGTTAAGCACGCTTGCTAGAATTCTGAATTCAACCGAGTTGGCTCAAGAACGATTGAAAAAGTCGGTGCAATTCCTCTCTCGCGGTCATATGGTTGCCAAAGCGGACTTCATTTACGGCACTCTGCAGAGAACAACTTTTTGGTACTTAAACACTGCACCTCAGTGGCAGACCTTTAACGGTGGTAATTGGAATTCGCTGGAGGTCAGCGTCAGACGCTTCGCTTCCAGCCGCCGTTTGGATCTCGACGTTTACACGGGAGTGCACGGTCAGATGACCATGGAGGACATTCGTGGCAAACAGCAGCCCGTCTACCTGCATGCCGAGGGTGCAATCGTTTCCGCACCCAAGTTCTATTGGAAAGTCATCTACGATCCATTGAGCAAGCGGGGTACGGCGTTTGTAGGCCTCAACGATCCGTTCATCAAGTCGGTTACAGATGATCTATATCTCTGCACGGATATCAGCGAGAAGATCAAATGGCTGAATTGGAGACCTCGCGATATCACGGCCGGCATATCTTATGCCTGCAGCATTGCTGATTTACGAAAGGCGATACTCGTGATACCAATGTTCGATGTGATCGACATTCTAATGTAACACAGATGAGTAACACTTGATTCCGTCCAATCATACCTCAGAAATACGAATTTAAGAGTAAAAATTTCTAATCGTGACAATAAATTGACTGTAGATTTTGTATATATTTAAAATATTTCTTATTTATACACGTACTAAAAATATATGAGAAATTAAAAAATAATCCAAATAAATGTAAAAAATTTGTCAATGTGCGAAAACGGACTGCGCAACATTATATAATGTACGAGATAGGATATAGAATGATATACAGTCAACACAAATCTCTACAAGTCGAAGTAAGGACAGTATACGATACTGAACATACTAAGCAGATACTTTATCTTCGATACGAGCGAGGTGTCGATAACAGGAAAGCAACATCCGTGTGTTTAAAATGCTGAATATAAACGTTAAGAATTTATTACAGATAATATTCTATCAAAATATATTGCATCAAGACTTTTAAAATAAATATAGAATAGCGTTGACGCATATATTATATTGTACTCGCGAAGTGCATATATTTTGTTAAATTTATATATACTTGGTAATAAATATTTTAGTAAATTTAACTTGAATTATAAATAGGAAATTGTGCAAAGTTTATATAAAATAATATTGGACTGCAGTGCTTTAAATGTCGATTGGCCAAATTCCAAAATTGGCAAAATGTACGAGAATACATAACGTCTAACAAAAACAATAAATTATTGAGTAGCATGTAGAAATAAATTAACTGTGACTAACTTCTCATTTAAATTTTATCATTGCTTTGAATATACATTTTTCATACGCTAAAGCAAGAATTGTTCGAATACATTAACAAATGTCACACATTACTAGAAAACTGTGAAATTATATGCAAATTCGAGACAAGCTTTATCTTAGTAACATAAAACAAGCTTTATTTCGAAAAGTTCAAGATTTAAGACAGTTGTATCAGTGACATAACTTTGCAAGAAAACTTGTTCCAGTAAGAAATACTACACATTTTTGCAGACAGAGAGACAAAGTGAATATATATAGTATAGACAAAAGATAGAATTTTTTAAAAATTAATATCACTAAAATATAATATTTTAGAATGTATATATATTAGATGTTATTTGTTATAAATAATACACACACACACACACACAAGGACCTGAAAATAATGGCCGAAACGTTGTGATTGTAATTAACAAATACATCTGCCAGTTTGGTCGAGAGACAAGGAGTTCGCTAATTTTTATATTTATTTTTGTTTAATATATGAAACAATCTAAAATTTTGCTCTGTGAGATATATATATATATATATACATATATATATATATATATATATATATATATGTATATATCTCACAGAGCAAAATTTTAAATTGTTTCTATATATTATATATATATATATATATATATATATATATCTCACAGAGCAAAATTTTAAATTGTTTCATATATTAAACAAAAATAAATTTAAAAATTAGCGAACTCTTTGTCTCTCGACCGAACTGGCAGATGTATTTGTTAATTACAATCACAACGTTTCTGCCATTATTTTCAGGTGCTTATCAAGTGATGAAACGTAATTACAATTATATATTATTAAAATATTAAGTTTTAAATTACAGTAATAATAAAATACAAAAGCTAAGAGTAAATAATGTAAAAAAAAGGAACGCAATCTGCAGCTTTCTGCGTTTTCTAGAATGTCTTTATAATGACGTCAATGAATGACGTATTAAATAACAAAAAAAATCATGGCCAATGATTATTATATCTCAAAGCAATTTTGTGATAATAATAAAAATGTCACGGTTTAATCTATGTATTCAATATTTCGATTCAATATTTTTTGTAACAAAAAAGAATGCAAATATTATCTAAAATTTAATTTAAAATGCATCATGCGGCCGATTTATATTACGATAAATGCTATTATATATACTAAAATAAATCGCAATTTTTCTGCTAAATGTGATTTAAATATTAATTTAAAAATACAAAATCAAATATGCAGCAAATATAAATTGTAATTTTCTCATTCGTTTAAAATATTATAAAAGTAGGCTTTCTCTCCTTCTCTTTCAATTATCTTTTAAAATACAATATAATGATTTTATTATATGATTAAGTCACCAATTACAATTTTTACTAATTGCAATTAAATTTTGTCGTTTATATAATTTAATTCTTGTGAACACACCTGATATTTATCTTAATATCATTATCTGCACATGAAGCAATTTATTATACAATAGTAAGCAAAAAGTGTAATGTAACTCTGCTATTCAAAGAGAATTCGACATATAAAATCGGTCCGTATATAATGTAATTAAATTCAAGGACAAGTTCTAACGATAAAAATTTATCCTGTTTTTTGAAGAACATATACACAGCAGGCATATATATAAAAGATCTGCCAACTGAGAGTTTGTACAAGAGAAATGAAAAGTAGGACGAGAATCGTAAAAACAGAACGTGCCGCCTCGTATCTCGCCTGGTACGTGTCCGCATCGAGATTTAAAACCGTCGAAACGTTTCGAGGATTTCCTGGAGCTTTCGCTCTTCAGCAAGATGGAGCAACGACATGAGAACACCTAAAAGTCCTGTGTACGTGTTCGATAATTCCCTTCTATTTCGACAACTTTCGAGATATGCAGTTAATTTTTATTTATTAACTAATATAAAAACTATATATCATATCTTTATTTTTCGTAGTGTATACAGCACTGAGCGCGCCGTGTATGTTTTTACTTATGTTTTTTTTCTGAATATCAATTAATATAATATTATCAATAATATATATAATTTAGAAATTTAATTGCGAATTTTATATTAGTTATAATATAAAAAAATCAGTAAAATGTTGTACAGTTTTTCATCTTACATCGTCACACGAAAGAGTTAACATATATTAAATATATTTATTTAATGATTTGAAATGTAATATAAGAGAGGGATTGATATTGTATCATTGTAAGATATATATTTTTTGAAAACTCTTATAAAAAAATATAGGATAAATTTAGTTATGAAATAAATTATATAGAAACGGAAAATTGGTCGCTGTTATATTTATGCTTTCGAATATATCCTAAGTATGGAACAAAACGCTCAATTGAAGGGAAGACTTTCAGAGAGCTGTTTGTGTGTGAAATATACCTTACAGCATTTAAGTTCAATTGACGTAGAAAAGAGCATCAATTGTGCAACTTTAATTAACTGTAACGAACGAAGAATGCACTTCTCGATAACCTTAGACAGAGTTTAATTAATGCAGTCTGTAGCTTATGTAAATATATATGTATGATGATTTTCCAACTAATCTTTGAAATGCTTTTATATTAATTGTTATTGCGAGAATGTTTTTATTTAAATTTTAAATATATACTGCTGGAAGTGACATAAAAAATAACATAAAAAATCGACGTTTACATACAATCAGATAATTAAAAATTTACTCGATAAAAAACATTCATTATTGTTTAATTAATCATAATTTTTAAAAATGTTCCCTTTTTAAAAAATTCTTTTCAAAGAAATATGAAAAGTTAAAATTCATTTTCCTTTATTTCTTTATTATTTCTTCTCTGAATATAATTTAATTCATAAGTTTGATAATTTTGATTCATCATGAAAGACTATATTAAATATTAAATTATATTAGGCGCGATATTTAATGTTATGAAAGTTTTTAATCGATTTCGTAATATACAAATCAAATTTAGATAAATACCGATTGATAAAGTATGTCTTAATAAATAGCCTTTATTACAAGGATATTACGAATAGTGCATATCACTTATTTCTCTTTAGTGTCACGAGAAAATCTATTACCATACAAGGACAGAACTTAAAATAGAACATATCGTTAACGTTAAGATAATGTAAATTTATATACCGTTCGAGATGATAACATACATACATCTAACAATATGCTGATGATAATACTTAGAAATATGGTAGAATTTTAATTTTGTATATAAATTTATATATCTGTTTTAAAATTATGTATATTATAATAAAAATCGCGGCATATATATTAAAATTTTTCCAATTTATACTCCTCTATATTATTTTTTAAATGTTAAATAATAAATAAAAATCGAGTAATTAAAAAAAATGTTAATAAAAAAAAATTATAATTTCTGCATATACATACACGATATATTAACATATATTTGTCTAAAATCTTGAATGTCTAAAAAATAAATCAATCAGAGTTAGACTCTGATCTAATGAAATATAAACCCAAAGATTATGGTATTTGAATGAAGAAAGTGCAAGACAATAAACTGCCATGTACTGTTTATAGAAACACGATAATTGCAAGTTATAAATAGTTTAGACTGAGAATAAATCTAAGTCATAAGTCGATGATCATCAAATAGCTACGCCTTTGTGATACGTATTTTGGTCACAGCTGGTGACGTGTATTATTTTAGCATGAAGGTTAGCCAATTGAATGATAAATCAAGTATTGGCTTCCGATACAAACGAAATTGCGTTTCTGTGACAGCAATCTCTGCTTTTCAAGCTATAGTCTTTCAACAGATTAAATAAACCGTTCCAATGAAATCGATCATTACTAACATAGCTACATAAAACGAGCATTAAGAGCTTCAAATAGTAATTAAATTGTGTAAATTTTTAATCAATAATGAAAAATACATCTTCATGAGTTCGCGCTATCTTTAGCTCTTATATCGATGGATGATATTACTCTAGTGATCTTGTGTGAAAATTTAAAACTAAAAAAATGTATACTTAGCGTATATTTAATCAGAAAGTAATTTCGACCATAATATCAAAAATAACGTTTATCACATTAAATGTTTAAAATTTTTAAAAATAAATGATAGAGTTTTCTATTTGGTTTAAAATGGTAAAGTTTTCTACTTGTTTTAAAATTGTGGCTACATATACATGTATAAATTCTCATATTTATTCTTTAGGGCACTTTATAGATCAATACGGATACAACCTCTTTATAAATTTATCTTTAAGGCCCTTTATGTGTTAGATTTCTGAACAGATACGATATAGAGATTTATAAATATCCAACGACTATCATATTAAAAACTTGTAATTCTTCAGAATTTTTTCTTCAAGCTTTAGATAATTATATTAGATAATTATATTTTTCAAGTTAGATATAATAAAGTTTGACACGTTTAAATATTTTTATATTTCCTTTCGAGGTGAGCAATAATCTTGTTTCCTGGGCGAATTGGAAAAAGCTTGGACATGTAAGGGTCTAGATAAATGGTCTATTGACAGACTTAATAGACGAATGAGCTGTTGCCAATATGCCAATATGCCGTTTATTTCGAAAGAGATGTGACCTAATCTAGCTTTATTAAAGTGAGTGTATTATATCAATTGTATACATTATTATTTAACTTAAATTTATAACATACTTAAATTTAGTAATTTTTTTTCATAACAAACATCAAATTCTCAAGTCTGAGAAATTTGAGATATCAAAATAAAGGACATATAATTTTTGAGTTATTAAGTATTTAACAAAATATTAACATATAGCAATATTGAAATGTCTTGACATTGACTGATAGAAAAATAATGGAACAGAATCATACAAACTTAGCTGTACTATATAGAGAGTACAGAAATAGTAGGTGAAACAATTTTTTTATTCGCCTTGCAAGCATGGGTGACAGGTCGAGTTACTGGAATGGAATTCGACGAAGGTGGAAACTGGAAGCAGAGACAGAAGACAGGAACTTGCACATGCGACGTCCGACTCGTTTTCCTCACTCGACTAGCATCTTTTTCCCCTACTCTATGCATCGTTACTCACTCGTTCTGTATCACACCGACTATGTAGGAGCTCTCTGTGCATAAGCATTATCCCCCTATTCAACGGGTTCACATACGCGCAGACGCATACACACACTGACACATACGATCAACACACTACCTCCGCCCACCGCCGTTCATCCAATCGCATCGTCCTTTCTCTCTCTCGCGCAGTGCACCCTTACATCTCTCTCTATCCACCATATACTCTCTTCTCCTCTCTTTTTCTCTCTGGGATTCTCGTACTCACTTGCCGATAATCTCGCAGAGCTCGTAAACATCGTCGAAGAGAACCTCGTCGTCCGCCATAGTGACGACGAGGAAGAGGTCGAAGGAGTCGACCACCGAGCTAGGAACCTGTCGGAAGGCGCGTCGCACTTACGCGAACGCGTGATAATTCGCAGCGCGTGCGAATACGCGCCTTTCTCTGTCGCTCCAGCCGTAGTCTCCCGGCCGATGATGTCGTCGTCGTCGTCGTCGTCGTCGTCGTCGTCGTCGTCGTTGTCGTTATAGTTATCGTTGTATTCGTATAGTGTCCGCGCGGAATACGCGCGGCGTGAGCGCAGCCAAGTATCGAGGATTCACGGCCGCATCGCCGTCGTTCCGTCCCTCTCTTTCTCTCTTTATCTTGCGCGCTTACCACCGGTCTCTTGCTTGCCTTTACGCACACGTCACGCACATATGCACGCACACACAGTCGTGGATAATGCACCCGTGTGTCAGCACACCAACCGACCGTCGTCGCACTGACACTCCGTTGGCGGACCACGAGCCCACACCGTATATCACTATAGGGTGCGATCGTGAATCGTACGTGCGGCGCAACTCTGTGCGAAGTGATACGATATCGGATATCGTCGACACCGCCTCGTCGTCGTCGTTCAAGGCACGCTAAATTCGCTCGCTCGCTCGCTCGCTGGTCACGCCGGCAAAATCACAACGCTCAGAGAAGAAACAGACGTTGTATAATGTTGTGTCAGGCTCTCTCGTATAGGTAGGCCCCGTCGCGCGACCTGTCTCAAAAGCGCGATGAGAGAAACCGGATTATAGGGCCGGTATATCCTCCTCGCCTGAGAGCAACGAGCATACGCGTTACCAATCGTACGTACGCACGATCGACGGCTGAAGAGACGGTCGACGGACGACGACAGAGAATACCGATGGCACTGAACACGCTATACCCCGTCTGTCAAAGGCCGGAGCAGTGGATTCGCTCGCTCCGAAGCAAGACTGGTTGCATAAAACGCGGCGGGCGGCTGCGCCAGCCGTTCTCCTCTGACGCCCCCTCTGCGGCTGAGCTGTGCATGGAGGGGCGGGCGTGGCGCCTGCTTCTCTTTACACGCAACCTTTTGCGCTAAACGTGTCCTTTACTTCCTTCATTGCCCGCTCGCCGAGTATGCGTAACGCGCCCTTAGGCTGGGGAGGATACTCTTGAAACCTTCGGCGTGAATCAGCTACTCGCTATCTTCTCTCGGAGACGCGATCGGTAAATTCCTTTGCGATACCAAGGGAGATGGAGTAAATATTTTCCTCGTGCTTTTGTGTTGTACGATAAGCCGCTTTCTTCATTCCCGAAACGACGGAGTCTTCTTTCGAATACTGTTTCGAATCAATTATATTAGAAATCTTATTATACACGAATATTATAAACAAATTGCAAATGTAAAACATTGATATCACATTAAATTTTGACTTACTTATAGAGACATCGTCTTTAATATACATTTTTAACACGATGTTATTGAAATTTACAAATTACATAAATCATATTCTTATTAAATTAATTTTAAAATTATGAATAAAAACGTTCGCTTACTCCTTTTATAAAAATGAGAGTCCATCGAAAATATCTTCAATTTCTGCATTCCGTCCAAATATCGATAGTACTACCATTATACGGTTGTGATATCCTCGATGGTAGATAGCATGTTTACCGAGAGCCAAAAATTCCGCTTCTCTTTCGAGATATTTTAAATGTTTATGATTGTATCCTCGTAAAACAATTATATTTTGCCTATAAAACAATACATGTTATATTATACAGTACATTTGATGTATGCTAAGAAAACACAATTTAAATTTGCTTTTCTCAAGCTATGCTAAAAACTATAATATTGATATTAAAATGTATGAAAAGAATTAGATTATGAAAGACAAAAATAACAACTTAAATATTCATTTAATCTAACCCAGATTTTTGCCATTGATCAATGTAAGGATTCTTTGCCCGATCTGCCACTAATGTATTATAGAGTGCAAGAATACTACGTGTTATCTATAAATAAATGTGTTAAACATTAAAGTCGAATTACTATTCATTATGCTAACTCAAATTTTATAATAAGTCACATTCGAGATAAATAATACATCATACAAACTTGAAAATTAAACATTCATGCTCAACACTATACATAAAAAGCTGAAATATATTTTGTAATTAATAATTTGTTTAATTCTTACCATACTTGTTGCTATACTTTGTGTCATAATAATATCAGTATTGAGTATTGAATAAAAAACATATTCATTAGGAGCAGCTGGTATCCTTATGATCCTGTATTTTCTGTTCTTTCTATTATACTCAATTATCCATTCATTACTTCGTTGTATGTGTGTATCTCTAAAATTAATTGTATAAAATATAAAGGTAATATTAAAAAATTATATTATGTAGCATATATGTATATATATATATATATATATATATATATATATATATATTCAGCTTGTATTGTGTATGCTTATGTGTTTTGAATTACTTTATATACCCTATTTTACATAAAAATATATATAACATTGTGCATATATGACATAACTAAAAAAATTAATAAAGATAGATTTATAAAATGTAGTCATTATTTTGATTTTTCATATAATTCTATAAAAATAAAATGTTTTATATCTTATAAATAACGTATAATTGCTATATATTTTCATATAAAGTTATTTATATAAAAATTATTCCAACTTTGTATCATCAAAATTATATTAATCTTTCTTTATAAATATTATACCAAATTACATACCTGTTTGATAATTTATGCAAAATATCAAGATTATGTTTATTACAATAATATTCTTTGCTATTCTTGTTTTGATTCTTCATTGTCTTAATTTCATTAAACTGTTTTCATTATTTTGATTTTTCATATAATTCTATAAAAATAAAATGTTTTATATCTTATAAATAACGTATAAATGCTATATATTTTCATATAAAGTTATTTATATAAAAATTATTCCAACTTTGTATCATCAAAATTATATTAATCTTTCTTTATGATCATATACAATTGTATTAAGTAAAATCCAACATAACCTAAACCTAAACGACAGATCGTTTATTATAATTTATATATTGAATTGTTTATTTCAATCCTTAATAAAACACATACATACTTCTTGATAATAAATGCCGCAGCCGCATTCGAATTCTCGAACCACACAAATCTCTAGAAATAATAAGTCGGTTTGTGAATACACATTGGCCGGAATCTTCTTCATCAACTGCAGTCAACTTTATTGTCCACTTGCACCAGGCACTTTATATAACACATGTTAAATCACACGAAAATTTTCAAAAGCAACTTACATGTTTACTTCACTTGTATTTAACACATTGACATTTTATTACTGACATTAGATAAGAAATGTCAAAAAAATGACATAACACGCAGCAGAGTGCAACCGTAAAGAACAGATGTTTCGAGTTTCGACTAATCTCGGTCGGCGATATCGATATCGATATATCGCAACGTCGATTCTTACTGGCGACGTGATATCGATACCACGGCAATTCAAAGATTTCAAAGTAGCGCAGCGTAGTGTTTGGTACACCTATACACGTCTAGGTTAGAATAGCTATTTTCATAATTAAAAATATTTACGTTAATGCAGCGATGTCATGTGATTTTTACGAGATATTCGAACGCGATACACCGACTGACGGTTGAATGTAATTCTTTGACGGTCGAAGTTACTAGTCGTCGTGAGGAAGGCTTCATCATGGAGTGACGATTGTTGAAGATCGTTGTTTATAGCCTCCTTGTCGAAACGGTACCGATCAAGGTTAAATCGATAGTTGTAATTGCTTATTTTTGAAGCGCGGTGCGAATTAGTCCGGAGAAAAATGACCTCGAACGAAGCAGGTGTGTCGCTCGTCGCCCGGGAGGACATCAGCTGGCGGAAAGATTTAATTTCGCAGTTACGCGAAAGAAACAGATCGCAAACCAGTTGTTTTGCGGATCTCATCAGCTTGCGTAAGTTTCTTACTTACGATCTCACGTTAATTTATCGGAATTTTATAATGCGTCTTATTTTGGATACCCTGACGTTGCTGTACGGTATTATATTGTTTACCATATGTCTTGCTTGGTTAGATTTTATCTGTGGATCAATGTTCATTAATAGATTTTTTACTTATCTATTTCTTTCTTTTTGAATAAAAAGTACCCATTAGTTCCTACACAAGATCTTTTATTTTGATATTAGTTTGTTAACTTCATGATATTTCTACTTTATAGATAATAGATTATTTGAAAGTGCAAACACGCTGCGAAATACAAACATGCAGTTGACAATTGCAAATGAGACCCTTCGTCGTGAGGTAGCCAATGGCAGTATCGGTATAGGTGGAAATCCTGATCTTGAAGCCAGACTTTTAAAACAAGCGGAAGAGTTGGCGATGCTACACAAGAGGAAAGGAGAACACACACAACAAATAGTAGATCTCAATAACAAATTGCAAGAAATAACAAAAGAACTTCAAGCAAAGGAAGCCAGGTAAAATCAATTTTAATCGTTTATAAATGTACATGTGTATAAAACAGCTTCTCTCATAAATTTATTCGCTCTTTTTCAGTGTTGCAGAAAGTTCGGAAGCTAATGTCAACTTACGTTCAGAAATAACTAAATGCCTTGGTAGAGAGAAAGAAATAGAAAGTGTTAATCAGATGCTCAAAGATGAACATCAGGCCTTGCAACTAGCTTTCGCATCTTTAGAAGAAAAGCTTAGAAAAACACAAGTATATACATTATATAATTGCTTTTTTCTAATTATGTCAAACATTGAATAAAATTGTGTAATATATCTTTTTCTATACATCAGGTTAAATCAAGTCATAAGTTATTTTTAGATATTCAATTATCTTTACTTTGTTTATTAACATTATTTATTTAAATTTATAAACTTGCAGGAAGAAAATCGACAACTGATTGAACGCTTAATAAAATATAAAGCCAGAGATGCAGAAAAAATGAATGAAGAGAATGACAACTTTTTAAGGTGAGTAAATGTACAAACAATATGTATTATGCACTTTAGATGTTAGAAAGTGAAATATAGATTGTAGAATTTGTCGTAATAAATTTTTACTTGTAATATAGTATAATTCGTGATTATATAGTTTCTCTAGAGTTGTGATTATGCTTGTAGATGTAAGCGCAAAGCAGTATAATCAACATAAGACTCTGATTGAGCATGTGTTTACTTTAATGTGTAATGTGATGAAATATATGCATAGTTTTGCATGCTAATTCTAGACTTCTAATATAATAATTGTATTTCTGCTTAGTAGAGCTTTGAAGTATTAACCAATTTTTTCTGCATTTTAGTTGATTTAGATTTTATATGTATATTTGTATGTTACCAGTCAGTGTAGTTTTGTGTGAAAGTAGTTTCCTTTGAATACAATCTTTTTGTCTCTCTGAAATCTTTATCTTTCTTCAGCACTACTTTTCTGTAGACTATCTACTCTTTTCTTGAAATGGATGCATTATTTCATTAAAAACACTTAAAACTTATTTACAAAAAACTTATTCAGTTTTAAAACATTATCTTTGTTTTAATTTCATTTAATTTACACAATATATACAATAAATCTTTTCAAGTTTGTGTCTTTAAATAATTCAGATTGCTATTATTTACAATTTATTAGAACGCATGTTACATATTTTAAAATTGTAAATATGTAAACTATGTGTTCTGATTAACATTGTGATATGCACATTATTCACATTACACTATAAATTTTTAGTTAAACAAAGTAATTAATATTTGTATTTATAAATGCTACACAATAAGATTTAATAGTCAAATCTTTTGATTAGAGTTATACATATATATATAAACGTCTATTAATAATTCAAATAATAGATATGTTGATATTCAACATTTAATGTTTATACCTATATGTTTTAAATATTAAGATATATATAAAATTAATATTTATAAAGATAACTATAGACATTATTTATTAAAGTTGAATTTTCCACAGAATGTACAACATTCAGTCACTTTAGGGCTTTCTACACTAGACACATTGCTTGACATTTTCTTTTCAGTTTTACGAGTCCAACTGCCTTTTTGATGCATACCTTTTCAAAGTATACCTTATCAAAGCTCGGGTAAGTTTCATGAAATGAAACATTTTGCTTAATGCTAAAGCTTTGGGCTGGTAATTTAACCAAACTACATACTACACTTGGTATTTTATGATTTATCTATTTTATCTATGGTTGGCGTTTATATATGCATTATATATTTGTGTTGATTTATCTCTAAAAATGGATACACAATTATTAAATTATTTGACTCTTTTTAAGCTTTTGTATGTAAATAAAAGATAAAATATGGTATATGTGAATACTACTGTACTATCTATCACTATAGAAAACAAACTTGAAAAGGTAAACAAATAATTTTTTTTTATCTACTTTTTAATAATACATTTATACAATATAAATGCACAGAATTAATTTTGCTGGTAATTCAAAGCAAAAGTGAAAATTGCATGTACATACAATAATTTTGTAATTTATATTATATGTACACGTGTATACACACACACACACATGAGAGAAAAATATATATACATTACAAAAATTGCATATTTTTAAACTAATAAAAAATCTAGTAAAAAGTGTGCATCATAAGAAATGGTGAATTATTTGTTTAAGTAATATAATTAGTTTTTATATAAAGCTTATTTTTTAGCTTTCTTGCAAGAAGGGATATAATATGAAAATTGCAGAACATATCAATGTTATAATATATGTATGCTTTAAGTTGCTTTGCAACTTTGTGGAATTGTAATATATTTACTAAATCTATATGTTTCTCATTACAAAATATTTGTTATTACAGAAAGAGGCAAGCAAAGATGCAAAAAGAATTAGAAGATGCAGCACGAGATACACGACCTGTTAGTCCTGATCGTTTAAGTTTAAAAGAAGTTGCTGGTCTTCCGACAGCAGTGCCAACAAAAGTATCCGTAACATTTGTACGTTGAATTTAAAATCTTATATTGTACTTTCTTCATTATCATGGAAGTATTAACATCATTCAATACATAATATTTCTAACACTGACACGTAAGATGCATGCTTTGTATGCATATATACATATATAAAAAAATCGTATTATATAACATAAATTTTTTAGATATTTACAAAAAATCTAGATGTTCAAAAAGTTTGTAGAGTTTCAAATTTTTTTTTCAGATTAAAGTAACATTAATTATGGAATTTCTATAATATTAGCAAATATATATAGATATTTGCATTGGTACATTCTAAACAATAGATATTAGTGCTTTTATATATTTTGAAAAATTAAGTTGAATAATAACTATATATTTTTTTTATTTATAGAAATCAAATGAAGTTTGTTTGACAAAATAGTAATTTTGTATAGTATATATATAATATATATATTATAATAGTATAATATATAAATTACATAATATAATTCACACCCACACACCACACACACAACACACACACACACACACACACACACACACACACACACACACACACACACACACACACACACACACACATCATTATACATATAATCTGTAACATTTTTTAATACAACAGTATTTTAATTTTTATTAAATTTTGAATATGTTCACAAACAAAAATATAATATTGTTTATTGAATTTAATGTGTATAAGTTGCATCTTCACATATTTTTCTTTTGTGCTTTTATTTTTTTATTTATATATATATATATATATATATATATATATATATATAAAAGAAGGATATCCTATCCATATTCCTTTATCCACATTCTCATTCTAAATTAATTGCGCACATATCATTTTCATTTTACACATGTGCTTTGAATGTGAAAATGCGAGTATAATTATATTATATCTGAATATATCATATTCGATAGATTATAGCAGTATTTATTAATATACATTTTTCTTATTAAAGCATTAAATCTTAATTGAATATTTTACAATATTTGCATTTTAAGTAAATAATCTTATCTATGTTTGACAATGAATTAAATAATTAGATATTCATCACTAAGATAATATGATAATAAAATTATGCGCGTAAATATAAAGATATATATTTAAAATAATATAATTATATGTATGTTTCTGTTTTGATTTCAAATTTCTATCTTGTAATATTATTGTCATGTATTGTGCGACCAACATTTGTGCAATAACTTGAATGCATGCAAAATTGTTAACACTTATATATATCAAGTGTTTATATAAACCTTACAGAGTGCCCATGAGGGAGAAGTATATGCTGTTAAATGGTCACCTACTGATAGAATTCTGGCTACTGGTGGTGCTGACAGGAAAGTGAAATTATGGAACATTACTAAAGGTAATTAATAAAAAGGGAGAATGTATTTTATAATAATTTTATAATAATTATTAAATAATATATTTAATAATATTAAAAATTATTATATTTTAGAGTACTTGTACGTATATCTCTTAAAATATTCTTTCTTTAATTTAGTACAAATAATATAACAAAATATAGTATAAATATAATTTTTATTATGGAATATTAACGTTAAATCATGATTTATCGAATTAAAAAAATTTTTAATATTGATATTTCGAGAATATTAAAATTAGATAGAGAACAAAATTATTTATCCATATTATATTTTTAAGAAATTTGTATTGTGTATAATACGCGCGTCTTTGCGCAAACTTGGTTTAATTATAATCGCTTTGGCGCGTTTTATAAGGTAGCGTTTGTGATTGACTACTCAAAAAGATCCTTGCTCCTTTTGTCCTGATTGGTCAATCAGACGCTTCCAAGTGCTTGTAACGCAAAGTCGAACATGCATCGTTGCCACAAATTACGACGGACATGGCCGATTGCCACGGTAGGGGGATGTAAATTACATTGAAGGCGTCGAGAACGCGTGCGAGAGAAAGAATGCGATTAGCCGGAGCATTCACGCGGGTAAACGACACCTCGGTCGCACAGTGTAGTCGAGAGTATTGCATGCAAAGGGGCGAAAAAGGATCTCGCGCCAGAAAATCCACTCGTCCTGTTATTTAAATTTTCCCGCCTTTTCCTCTCTTTCCCGCGCAATTTTTGCGCGCTTTCGCAGTCGCGTTATGGCGGTTCGGTCGTTCGCGCCTTTAAACCGTGAGAGGTATTTGCAGTTGTTTACACTTCGACTTTCGGTAATTATTATTCTCTAATTAATAATTCTTTCATCTAACTATTTAATTAAAAATTGTTTATTGATTCGAGCAGAATATGAACGAGGAATATAACCCCCACTGCTATCGACCTCGCATATATATCACGTTAATAGCGTACTTATAGTTTTATGATCTAATTATGGTTTATACGCGCGTAAAATTGATATTATCTAGCAAGTCACAATGATATAAGAACCTGCGCTAGTGCTACTAAAGATGTCTATTAAGTATCTGCAGAATAACTTAAGTATTTGTCAACATAAATATACTTTTATTTCACAGCACGATTTTATCAGGATATTAATGTACAGGGATATATTTAAAATTAATAACATTGTCTTTAATTTTGATTTGTGTATGTAGCAAAGTAATATTTTTTTAGTAGTTTTGAAAGAGAGGGAGAGAGAGACGAGGAGAGGGAAAGAGATAATTTTCTAAAAATTTGCAATAAAAGAATAATTTTCCTATTCGAGTTCGATAAATATCTCTGGTAAATAAATGTAAACCATAAATCAAATATATAAATTGTATAAAAGAACTAATTATTAGTATATAATTATAACGTGTGTGCCTCTGAATGTTATTGCTTCGTTTTTTACGGCAAATTTTTATTTCAAAAAAAATTCTGTGCTATTGATATAATAAATTAGGTTTAATAAATCAACAGGTTATTTTGCATGATCGGCGCTTGTATGATTCGTCCTTGCCACGTCTAGCAAAAATCAGCCTGTCGGCGTTCTGCAGCGAAGCGATCGCACATATGCTATAACGTTCTCGAATATAATCCCTCGCATCTCCCGTTACAAATTGAATGAAACATTCATTCTTATTGTATGGGTTATATCCGCTTAACTCGAGATCTGCTATTCTGGATTTCCACACATTATCCATTTCTCGGCTTTATTCTGCGCGCTTCTTCATTGCTCTTTCACATTCCTATTTCTATGTTTCTCTATTTGTTTCCCCCTTTCTCCCCTGTTGTCCGCTTTGAGGTGCTTATAAGCTGCTTCGGATTGCAACACAACTTGCTCGTTGCCAATTAAGCCGTCAGGGCATAAATTTAATTAGTCATATTCAGAGAATAATGCGCGGTATAGGCGCAAAGGGGAAAAGAGAGACAGAGATAGAGTGGAACGATCCTGCAATAAGGAACAAAGTAATTGATGGAGGCACGTAAACACGAAGAATTAAACACAAACATCGTTAGGTAATGGTATGATAACGTGTGCATGAATGTCCTGTTGTAGGCACATCGGAGAGTAAAGGCATCCTCGTCGGCAGCAACGCTGGTGTGATGTCGGTGGACTTCGATTCGACGGGCACCCTTATTCTTGGAGCATCCAACGATTATGCGAGCCGCGTCTGGACCGTTAGTGATCTTCGCCTAAAGGTAAGTTTTTGCATCAAATTGTCTTAGTGTGTGGTCCTATGCTTTTTGCCACGCACTTTCGAAGCAGCATGAGAGCTTAAAAGGGCCGCTAAAAATAGCCAGAAACACCTGCAATATATGCATTTTAAGGTTTCATATTATTTAGATTTTTCAATGCGATGTTAATAATTCGCATAACACCGTGATATAAAGTTATATCACATGAATTATGTTTAATTCATTTCTATAAAATTTGTCGTATGTGTTAGTCAACTGTAAAATATATTATATATAATAATCGTATATATAAAGTTTTTGTCACGCAATGAAAGCAAAAACAATAAAGATATAAAATATATATCTAAAAATTGCATATAGAGATTTAGCGGTTTATATAGATGAAATTTATTTTTATTGCACTTCTATCAGAATTTTTTGCAAAAAGCTTTTACAAATTTGTTCTGATAACAGATTCTACATGACGTGAGAAAATTTGAATATAAAATGAAATATAATACTCACATCTACAATCTTTTGAAGCCGTAAAAACGGCATGATATTTATTATTTATTATATATGTATATTTTTAATAATTTGTATTAAAATAGAAATGAGGATAATATTCTCAATATATAAATCAATTATTAGGAAGAACTAAATGTTTTTTTAAGCATTCACTCAATTTTTTTTCGTACGAAACATCGCTTGATCCGTTTTTCCGTCATATCTAGGTTAATATTGATAACTTTTCAAAGATTTAAATTTCCGACTTTCGATTGCCATTCAAATATGCTGCTGCTCGTTCATAATTGTACCACGGTTCTATGGATACTCACTGTAAAGCCGAATGTATTACGGAATTAGCGGCTTCATCCCTCTCACGAAGAGATGAAACGTTCCGCGCAACAATACTTGAACGAAATATCGAAAATTCATCCGACAACGCTGAGTTTGCAAATTTTTTAAATCCGCAGATTACGAACGAAGCGTTGAAATTACGCGCGTCGAAAGCCGTAAATAAAATAATACGGACAAAAGACTGCTGCGCATTTTGTTTTTTTTTCTTGCAATATACTATTAAAATTGTTTTTTACAATTATTGACAAGCAAGAATGCTTGACGAGATTATCTATAGATGATTACAAGTCATTATATTTTATTACGATATATACAATATTGTAGAATTATTATGAAAGTCAATATAAAAAATAATTGCTACACTGAAAAAAGTTTGTTAACTTGACTAAATCTTTCAACTAAATATTATTAATTGAACATATAAAAATATTTAAATTAAATATAACATAATAAATCTAACAAAACGTACATTTGATTTAAATACTATAATATATGTTTAATTAACAAAATGATAATTTAGTTGAAAGGTTTAGTCAAGTTAACACATTTTTTTTCAGTGTATAAATTAATGTTATAAATTGACAAGAAATTGTAATTAATCGTCTCTTAAAATTTTATTTGCCGTTTAGGCGTACACTGAAAGAAAGAAGTGAAATCTTTATATATTCATATATACGCAATAATATCTATAATCTTATTCTTAACAATATTACAGTCTTATTTTAGTATTATATTTAAATGTCATTTGAAGAATATAAAAAAATATATTATTTTATATGAAATAATATGTTATTTTCTATCCAATATTTTTCTTTTCCATTCAAGAAAATTATTCTTATATAATAAAATTGGTGTTTTTCTTGGTTGAACTATATAAAATGTTTTTATTCAAGTAAATTTTGTATAGTTCAATCAAGAAAAATATTAATCTTATTATTTAAGAATAATTTTCTCGAATGAAAAAGAAAATGAAAGAAAAAGTTGGATGAAAAATAATATATTTTCATATAAAATAATATATTTTTTATATTCTTCAGACAATGATAATATTGAAATTAGACTGTATAATGTTGAAATTTAAGAATCAGCAAATTCTTATAAGAAGATTATAAATATTGTTGCATATATACGAGTATATACATTTTGATTTGACACATTTTTATGTGTATAGGAATATTTATCATAACTTTTTACATGTCTCTCTAAACTAATTTTACTAACTCACACAAAAGTTGAAAATGGCATTGTAATGCCTCAATATATTTTCAATGCTTTATTGGCAATAATTTGCTGTTTTAACTAGCTGAGAGTTATATACGCGATAATCATGTACATATGACCGTACTCAATCAAGCTTTCATACCGTATTGCGCTAAGCACAAACAAAAAGAAGTTACATTAAGATAGAACAAATGGCCTAACAACTACGATAATGAGACGCGTTCGTCCCTCGTCTTCGTGAAAACGTGATTGGCTGTACGGACGTGTCCCAGGAAGTGCATAAAGAGACGTCTCGCAAAACATGCATTAAATTACAGGTCTGTTCCGCTGGTGAGACAGCCCGTGAATCTACCAGCAGTAGAATATGAAATTTATCGTCACCTTCTTCTCCCTCGCGATCTATTACGGTACGGTTCATGTAAATCCGCGGCGTTGGCGCGATCGTAAAGCTAATGACAATCTGCAAAAAGTCAGTCAGGACAGAATCACACCGTGAATCTTGCCACTGATCGTTACTCCTGCTCATATTAGGTACCTATGTACCTATGTGCCTTTGAAAGGCAGCCCGATGTTCCCTCGCGGCTTCTTAACTTCATATTATCCAAAGTTCATTCGCTTACATTTTCCCTTCATTATTACTACATCTATAATAGAGGAAAAAAACGTTCTGTTCTATATCCCTTTGATAAGCACATCAATTTTTTTTGCAACTCTTCATTTTCTATGCTGAAAATACTTGTATTGAGAAATTGCAACTTGAAAAGAGGGATATATTGATCATTCTTAATAACAAGTATTAAATATCTCAGTAATGTTCTCGGGTAATATTATTTTTTTTGTGACAATAGCCTATTAATATAATTTATCATGTAATTTTGAAATATTTTTCGGCATAGATTTATACGTAAGTAATTTAAATTTGAAATATATTTTTCACTATTGCGGTATATTTTTTATGCAATTAATTCAGATCAAGCAGATTAAAATAATTTGTGATACATACATATATAAGATCTAAAATTAATTTGATGTGACAAAATTCTTAAATTAATTGTCAGTAATATCCGTTAATTTTTTAACGAACAATTTATCTCAAATTTTTGGAAGATGAATTTATTAATTACTTGATACAATACGTAATATACGTGATTAATAAATTACCGAATAATATTTCAAAATTATAACAAGCATAAATGATAAGTTTCAAGTTTTAATCTTACAATAAAACAATATGTTCTAACGCGATAAAATATAGATCAGTTAAGTTAGAAGATTTGCGTCAAATATGACGTTCAAAGTTTAGCATATGACAGTAAATGCCGATCACTAATGTACATTATTTCCTTTGATGTGCGCCCGAAGCCGGGTTCTTGTATATAAGAACTTAAGTACATGGTCTGTCGATAGTCGGAGGATATACACGCGCGCTGTTGTGTATGGAGGAGTAATCAGGAATGATCGATCGCGATAAAACTTTGAGTCCCACGTCGTACGTATATCCCGACCTGCGCACCTCGTTACTTTGATAGGATTGTCAGTGTCGTACTGATGTAACATGATTAAACGTTGGGAGCAATGATTGTCGGCAATGCCGACGGGAATCGACGGACGGGAAAGCTTCTGCTGCTGGCTGCTAATCTCGTGACCGGTCCTCGCAGTTCTAGATGAGATTCTGAACTTTGATTTGTGGCGTGTGTATATGATCAAGTTAGCCGTCTTATCACATAAACATTTTTTTACTGCCGCGATTAGTCATCGATATCTGATAGATTCACCACGTGATACATTATTCGTAAATAACTTATCCTTAACGTTATAGTAATTCCTTGTGAGAATATCGCGTCTATCGTGAGAGCTATCGTCGCGTGGTTTCAGCATCCGAGGCAATTTCTCTCTCCTCAGGACAATTACACACGTATTCACGTTAGATCATGTCACAAGATTCGGCGAAGATGCTCGCTGGTTCGCAATAGAGCGAGATTGGACCGATAGTATGTTCTTACCAGCCGCGTAATTCCATTACATACTTGATACGTCGTTTCCCAACGTCATTGTATAAGTTGCTGCTTGTTCTACGCGCGTTTACCGTGTAGAGTAATACCGTATCGTGTATTGCGCGGCGGTTACCGGTGGAATACAATGTACAATATATCCGCGCACGAGGATGCAAGGCAAGGGTATATCGTATATCGAATCGCCGGATGTGTTAAATGTGATTATTCGAGAAATCGCAGCTGCCGTCTCGCGCGAATCGTCGCGCATTCCGTCCAAGATCAGCTGGATTCTCTTCCCTCTTTCTCTCTCTCTTTTGGTTTGCACTTCTCGTCCTGTCGCTCTTACTTACTTTTTCACGCGCCGTTTGCAAAACGGCCTCGCCGGGAATCTACTGAACACCGGCAGTTTCATTCCGAAGATTGGTGGCCAATGGCGCGTAAACTTACGCGGGAAACAACATGAGGATCTCGGAGGGATTCGAGCCATAACCAGTCTGTAGGTTATTCAGGTTGAGAGGTGTGAGAGGTGCTGACCATCTGATGTTTATTCCGAAGTTCTTGGTCTTGAGAATGCAATAACATCTGTTGATCTCAACAAAATGCGACTTTTTTCTCGGTTCAATTTCTTGTCGTTACTTATCTTTTTAAAAATTATTTAATATATTTTTTTATAAAATATATATCTGTAATTTATGTAATAAAAAATGCGCCCTACCCAAAATTATCATCAAAATTAATTATATCTTTATAGAATGCAAGTTTCCGTCATTTGCAGTATTTAAAAGATTTCTCATTTTTTGAAAATTTCCAACTAATAAAATAATGATTTTTTAAAATTATTTTTAAATGACATTTCTTTTAACAATAAGTTGTTGTTTTGGTACCGCCAATTCAATATTTATTTATAGAAACAGAAAGAATATGTATATATATTTTGAGTGCAAATAA